AAAATATTTTTTAAATCATATGCTGCATGAATGAAACCATCCTAACTTATTTACTAAGCTGTTATGCATTTCTTATTACCGCAATCAATAATGACTCGATTTACGAAGGCATTTACGGCTAATTATCAATGGCTTTTCAATGATTTTACGAGTCAATATTTTTAGCATAAAAAGTTGATTTTGATGAACTAGTTAACAATTTTAGAGCATTACCAGCCAGAAAAAAATCAATCAAGGCCAAATAAATGAAGCTGTATCTTTTGATTCACCATGTTGAAATAATGTTTCTCAATAAACTTTTTAAATCCTAGAGTAGTTTAATATTTTCGACTAACTTATAATCAAAATATTGATATTATGAGTTATTATTTTAGTTACTATATTTTTTTAATTTTATGTTAGGCGAAAAGCGCCTTTGATGGCATAGCGCCTACGATGACCTTGCAACTATGATGACATAGCATCTATAATAGCATACCGGTCATATTTTCATAAATATTGGTTATGGCGAAAAAGTGATTAGATCTTTATGTATATACTGACTTTACATTAGTTTTAGTAAAAAAAAAAACATCCCCTATGCTCAAATATTGCTTTTATAATCAACAAAAATCGATTTTGATATGTGCTGATGTATTTTTAATTCCTTTAAATATTTAAGATTGTGATTTTATTATTAACTGTGCAGAAATGAAATTTTCATGCATTTTATTTCCAAGTTTTGTTCATTTAGTGGAATACTTATTTTAATTTTATCTTTTGAAAAAGGCAGACATAGCTTGTTTAAATGATGACTTCTTTCTATGATGGCATATTGACGAGTTATGTGTGTTGCAATATTGACAAGTTGAAAAAACTTTTTTTTTTCATAAAAACAACATATTTGTTAGTGAAGTAAAAAGGAATTTTTACTTCACTAAAAAATTTTTGGTTCAAAACAAAATATAATTTAATAACAATATAACAATAATAAATTAGTAAAAACACTAATCTAATTTTATCTTTGAGAGCTTGTTTCTCCATCAGTAGGTTTATCAGGAAGCCTGATCAACTATTGAACCTACTGATAAACCTTCCTTATGAACCTACTGATGGAGAAACACTATTTATTAATCCAAAAATCAGATCAATTTTTGTTTTAGACAAACTCAAAATGGACAGACAAAAGAAATTTCTCCATTTAAAATTTATGCAGAGGTTATTTGAAATTCGAAATAGTAAAACAAGTGGTCAAACTATAAACAGAATTATTAAAGTTCTAGAATTTACCTTAGTTGCTCAAATATGGTACGAGCTCAAATATTTTTGATAAAGTCAGATAACAAAATACATCAAAGATTTTTCTTCTAATTCAGAAAGTTTTTGACATTATGTACAACTTGTTTCCAAAGTTTCTCAGATTGTGTATGGTATGGAATCACATCAAAACTTATTGTGGATAAAATTCTTATCAGAAAGAATAAAAAAAGTTTTATGTTCAAATGTTTATTTGTGTCTAAATAAATTTTTGTTATAAGAATTTGAGTTAGTGAATAATTCTTTTAGTTATTTAATATTTAAAGTCATTTTCTTTTAAAGTTTATTTATGCAGTTTTTCCTATTTTTTCTGTTTGTATAGATTTTCTATGTGTATAGATTGTATAATATGTGTTTCTATGTGTATATGGCCTTAAAGTTTTTGGCTTTGACGTTGATCGTTTTGTTCTTTATAGTAAAATACATAAAATTAAAGAATTGGAAGTTTTTATTCTTTTTTTACGTAATTAATTAGGTAATTATTCATTCTTTATTTTGTAAAATTGTGTAAATATAGAAAATCTATACACATTTTTTATATTGTATAATAAAAAATGTGTATCTTTATTAAAACTTTTGTTCTTGGTCTTCAGGATACTGAATAATGAAGCTTCAAAGTTAATTATGTCATCATAGGCACCTTTTCCCCTATTTGTTTTGATTGTAATCAAAAGATTATTTATTTTAATTAAAAAATTAATTAAATTAAAAATAAATTATAAGTTAAATTTTTTTTTTTAATAGTTCTTACAAAAAAATAGTTTTGTAATATTTTGTAATATTTTGAGTGTTTTTTCACACAAAACTTGCATAAATTACTTTTGTCAGCTTTTTAAAAAAACAAACTCTCATGTAAACATTTAATAACCCTGTATTTAAAATAATTAATTTATGAAAATAATAACCCTGCATTTTCATTCAAATTTTTTATGAAGTTTTGTTTTCGTAATAAATGAGTCTAATTACGACAGTAACAAAAGAAAAATTCTAATCACACAGCACTCAGTAAACACAAGTAATTCTTTGTAAATACATAAGTAATTTAAAACAGGTGTTACAGTCTGATAACTTTTTAAACCTTATTTAAACTTAATGAAAATTATTGTTGTATTTAAGATGAGTTTTAGCCTTAATTTATTTAGTTACACGTTGAAGTTACTTTACAAATGCAATTTACTTAGCATATCTTTTCGCCTATACATATAATTAATATATATATATATATATATATATATATATATATATATATATATATATATACATATGTATATATATATATATATATATATATATATATATATATATATATATATATATATATATATATATACATATATATATATATATATATATATATATATATATATATATATATATATATATATATATATATATATATATATATATATATATATATATATATATATATATATATATATATATATATATATATATATATATATATATATATATATGAGAGTATCGCCAGTTGTTGTTTAAGATACCGTCAATGCTCTCGATAATGCGCGATTGTGAACTTTGTAAAATTTCACATTTAATAAATGCGTCAAGATATATATATATTTTATGCTTACATTTGTTAGTCGTTGTACAGCTTTAAATAACTAATAATAAAATTAATAATATAAACTTACAATGATAGAAAGTATAACAAATATAAACAAGGTATATGAAAGAAGATCACAAGGATCTTGTCGTCAGAACCTTAAATAAGCATTTAACAAAGATAAGATAAATAATAAAAAAATATATTTCTTTAGTACATTTTTAAAACTAATAACTCTACATAAAATATTTACGTGTAAAAAATATTGAAGTAGAATGAGTTGAAAATTTACTTACCATACTCCTTCCCATCGTGTTGTAAATGTTTGTGAGCCTAACACAGTTAAATTAAACTGGCAAATCAATATTGTATGAAATATTGAACAATATATAGATAAAATTTCACTGAGAGGAAAGTTTTCACGTTATTTTATGTTTCTTCTTTCCTTCTTCTATTTTTTTTCAATTTAATCAAGACATATATTCAAAATAATGATTTCAATTTAATAAAAACATATATTCAAAATATTGATTTCATAAACGAATTACATCTGTAATATTGATTTGATCACTTGTAAAACCAAATCAATATTACAGGTATAAAACAGTTTTTTACTTTATCTATTAATTTTAATCATAGTTAAAAACAGTATCTTAACTCCGTCATTCCTGCTGCTTTATGCTTAAACTTTTTTTTTTTAAGTCTTATAGTTCAGTTATTTTTACTTTTATAATTTAAGTTTTAGTTTTTTGGATAAGTTTTGGCCGAGTAGTTTTTTATTTTTTGATGACAACTCCTTTTATTAAAACCATCATATAAAAACCATCATACGTAACACTATCTTTTCAAAAGAAATAACAGTTATAATAATTATAAATAAATAAAACAAATATAAATACACAAAAATATAATATTATTAAAAATAAAAATAGACATAAAAAAAGTAAATTATGAATAGAAGAATTATACAAATTCACGAAACAAATTTTTTTTTTATATCTAAATGTTTTACAGACCCATAGGTTGTTGCCCTAGCAACAAGCAAATTGATCGATCCTAATCTCGATTGTAAATTATTTGCACAAAGTGATCTGATTGAAATATTTTTGTACTGTCGAATCTTATTAATTTTTTGTTTGCCATATTTATACCGAAAATAATTATTAAAATTGAAATCTTCTTGATTAAAATCTTCTTATTGATAACTTCGCCGTTACCGACACCGACACCGACGATGATTGATAATATCAATTATCATTCTATTCTCGCCATTTTTTTCTTCGTGGAAATTTTTTTATCACTTCCAGTTACCTTTCGACATTTTTACTTGCAGTTATCAAATGAGAAATAATCTAATGATCAATCTCAAAACTTTGTTTTTAATAAAATATTTTAAAGATAAACATGTGTACTTTCCTTCTTCCTTGGCCTTTTTTTCTCAATAAAAGTCCTTGAAAAACTTTACCAATATAAACAATTCAATTCTTTTTAATTTACTATTATTTTCATTATTGCTACTTTCAAGCAATAAAAGAACGCATATCTAAAAAAACTGCAGCAAAGTCCTACAGAGGTTTGCTCATATTCGGTTAGTTTTGACCTTCAGTCAATTTTTCGCAAAAAAAAAATTTCTTTATTAAATAATTAGGCAAAGTTATTAGAATTTTTTTAGATATTTTTTCGAGTTAAATAAAATTTAAAAAATAAATTAAGCTTTGTTTATTTTTTAATTTTTTGATTTTTTTTTTTTTTTCCTTACTGATCTTTTTTTATTATTTTTCCGATTTCATTTTAACTACAACCCCATAATAAATTCTTAACCCATAATAAATTTTTACAGCTTTGTGTTGTTTTCAATTGACTAATCAAATGTAACGAAAAAATCAAATTTAACCAATCAAATATAACAAAAAGATTAAATGCAATTACAACCAATCAAATGTAACCAAAAAATCAGACTCAACTACAATTGCCTGTGCGTTTAATCTTTCGACAAAATCACGCAAGATCGGTGCTGAGTTTGTATGCATGACCAGACATCCTCTATGGTTGATCACATTTAAATGGATAACCAATGGCACTATTTTGAATCTAAATTTTGACCAATCAAAAAACTGTGGATGATTGGGTTGTTTTCACAGTAGATGAGCATTCCTAAACTTAAAAATGTAATCCAAATTGCAAGAATCATTAAGAGCTTTTGTGACCAAGCGAAAGGTAGGAAAAAAAAAAGTTTCTTGTAACTATTTTTTAAAATTTTCTAAATTATTTTACATTTGCTAAAATTTTTTAGTATTTATTTTTCTTTTAATGCAATTTTATTTTGTATCAATTCAATCTCTAACAAAATATTAATGAATTTTTTTTTACTCTATCTCAAGTAAAATATTATTTAACTTTTCTTTACTCCTGCTTACTATCTTATAAATTATTATTTGTTAACTTAAATTTTATTTTACTATTGTTTTTTTTTTAGATTCATAATGGCTATGCGACTTGTCTTGGCATGCCTCGTTTTAGGGGTGGCCGCTACTCAGGCCAAAACTTTACACGGTAAAATATTTTATATATATTTAAAATAACACATCATTATCATGTAAATATATATATATATATATATATATATATATATATATATATATATATATATATATATATATATATATATATATATATATACATTTATATTTTAAATAAGTATATTTATACAAAAATTTTGTCGTTTAGAAATGTTGAAACGTGATGCCAATCCATGCGGTAGTTATTGCCCATCTGTATGTGCTCCTGCTTGTGCACCAGTTTGTTGTTATCCACCACCTCCTCCACCACCCCCACCCCCACCACCACCACCACCACCACCACCTCCACCACCACCACCAGCACCACTTCCAGGTAATCCAGGACCTCCAGGACGACCAGGACCACCAGGAGCACCAGGACCAGCTGGACCACCAGGACTTCCAGGACCTCCAGGACCACCAGGAGCACCAGGACAAGGAGGACTTCCAGGACAACCTGCACCACCACCACCACCCTGCCCACCAGTTTGCGTTGCTCAATGTGTTCCAACATGCCCACAATACTGTTGTCCCGCAAAGAGAAAGTAAACTATTCATTTTAGCTAGCACATTTTCTAATTCAAATATATTCCTGACTCAGACGTTTTGAAAAAATGTCCACGATAGCAATTGAAGCGATTCAAAGTAGACCACGGGCGGAGAGATTTTGTTTATTGATGAAAATGGTAGAAGAGATACGAAATGAAATATATTATACATACATATAATGTACAACGTTAAACTAATATCATTTTCTTTAATAAAATTGTTGTTTTTTTTAATACATTTTGTTCGTTTTACTCAACAGATTTTTCATATTTATTATATAAAGCTAAAACGTTTTAATTAGTTATCATAGTTTTCATAATTATCATGGTTAATGATTGTAACATTTAAAAACAAACAAAAAAGTTAGTAAAAGTAGTTCTTAATGAATTTACTTTTAAAAAGTTCATTAAGAAAGAATGAAACTTTTATTTTAATACATTTAAACGAATAAAAGTGATTAAAGTGTTTTAAGTCCTAGTGATTCTAAAAAAAATATGTGTTGATGTGTTATTGAAAAATAAAAACAAAAATTTGAAATACAACAAACTGACAACTACTTACAAATTTTTTTTGAAAGTTTTAGAGTAAAAGTGTACAGTAATTTGTAATGCAAATTTGAGAAGTTAAAATTGTTAAAAACAAAGTAAGATGGCTTAATGATAAATTTTTTCAGCGCTTGCAGTGAGAGTAGCTCTGATTCAAAACCCTTTAATTTTGTATTTAATTTTTTAACCCTTTAATTAAGTGCATAGTATAGAGTCACGAGCAACCTAAACTTATATTTTAAAACTGAATAAAAACTGATTTTATGCATTAGACAAATAGTTTAATTAAACGTCTAATTTGTAAAACAATTATGCCCCAGAGGGCATGCGTCGTCCGGGGAAAGTCCATCGGACGTCTTGCAGACGCCTGGACGTCCGCGAGATGACGGACGTCCCCCGGACGAGGCATGAGCCCAATCGGATTATTATTGTAGTCTTTACAAATGACTTATGTTAAGTAATAGTATTTTTTTTTTTTAAGAATATAAAAACAAAAAGCAATTTTAAAAGTTTTCTCATCAATTAGACTTAATCCATGTTCTCATGTAATTTATGCACTCATAAATTATGCAATAATTTATGTACTCATAATATATATGTAATCATAAAATATGTGTAATCATATATACTTATGTATGTTTTTTTTTTTTTTTTTTTTTAATATTGTCGTACATTTTGTTGCGTTTAGCATTTGTTGCTATTATTCAAGTGATTTAATGCTTAATGTCTTCAATTTTTCGAATTCAAATTTTTTATTCAATTTTTATTCTTCAATAATTCATTCTTTTCACTTAATTAGTTTTTTTTACTACATCTGTTCTAAACAATGTTTATTTGTTATACTTTTCCTCTTTTATCTAATTTTCAGCTTTTCACCGCTAAAAAAATACTTCCTCCATTTTAATTCCAACACGTGAGATTTATTTTTTTAAATCAAATTTAAAAAAAAAAAAAAAAAACTTTTCTATGAACTATCAAAAAAATAACCAAGAATTTAAACTAAGAATAAAAAACATCAATTATACAATGTTGCTCAAACTAAATTGACTAGGAAAAACAGACTTGGTTGCACACGGTTTTGAAAAAGCAATAAATTGTTTAAACTACTAATCCTAACGAAAAGACGTCACATTTATTTTTCCAGATTTGGTTTAAAAACTGTTTTAATAGTTGCGGAGATGATTGTTTCAATGAACATAAAAAGTAGATCTAGTTTGTTTTACTTGGTTTGATATTTATGCGACTTAAATGAGTACATAAATTAAATGAATGCATAAATTATATGACTGCATAAACTATACGACTATACTGATTGTACAGTTGCATATATTATATATGCAATAAATTATATGAACTTATATAACTATAAAGTTATATAAGTTATATTTGTGTTAATAAGTGTGATAAGTATGTAAAAAATAATGTTTTATAACTAATATATTTTGGTTAATGCAAAAGAATTCAAAGACGCTCTGGACGCACTGGAGAGTAAAGTGAGAATTGAATATGAATAAAAAATAAATAATGATGCAGCAGATTTTAATAAAAAGATACAATCATTAGTAATAACAGTTGCTGATTTAACTATTATTGTTCCTGCTCCGAATGGTGCTTGGAATATTGTAACTGGTATAAAATTGAATAAAGCTCAATCTCAATCAAAAAAAGAAATGTTTTTTAATTTTTATTCAATATTCAAAAAAATTTTGCTTTGGAGTCGGAGTCGTTCTCAAAAAATTTCAGCGAATAAAAGTTTGTACTTTTTTTTTCTAACTCCACATGTCTGAGAGCAAAATTCGTAATAACACTTATCTATTTCTCTTCGACAGTTTGATTCTCCATCAGTAGGTTCATCAGGAAGCTTCCTGATGAACTTACTGATGAAGAAACAAGGTGACAAAGAGAAATAGATAAATGTTTTTACTTATATACTTATATATATATATATATATATATATATATATATATATATATATATATATATATATATATATATATATATATATATATATATATATATATATATATATATATATATATATATATATATGCTTCGGGCATGAAACTTTAAGTCCCGCTAATCAGTTGTTTTTATTCATCTAAATATAATTATATATAGCTCTATTATTGAGTAATATTGAGCACTGTAACACGTACAATAGACTTCGTATTATTACATCAAAATACTTAACCTCGAATATATTCTATATATCGAAATCTATACAAATATATATATATATATATATATATATATATATATATATATATATATATATATATATATATATATATTTATATATGTTTGTGTATAGGTAGCGTTTCTTTACAGTTATTGGCGTTAGGCAAAAGCCTTTAAATTTTCTTGAACTTTACTTGTTTATATCTTTTTTTAAGTTAAGCATGAAACTTGAGACTTTTTGCATTATTCAGTTTAAATCTACCTTTTCCAACCATTTATAGAAAGTACTATTTACTACTTTATATACTAATTATATTTCTTCACTTATATTTTTCACTTTTTAGAGTTTCAGAGAAAAGTTATGTTCCAACTTGCTGAAATTAAAAACATTTTAGTAAATAAAACTGCACAGTTCTCTAATGATCCAGAAGGTATATAAACAACTTAAAAGTTCAAATGAAATTAATATTTTGAAAAGAAAAATTGCAAATGGAGATATTCAATACATCGCTTTTGTATGCATGAGTTTCATCTTTATAGTTTATATGTTATATTATTACAATATTTCTTTTGAATTGTCATGAACATTTTCAATGTTTCGTTCACATTGTTTCTTTTTAGGTAAAACAGTTATCATTAATTGGCGGTAAAAATTCAGTTGATACTATTATAAATATATTTCTCTTGTAAGTAATTAGTTTGAATTTTAACATTTATGTTTGACAGCATGACATCTTTTTTATATGTAGACTGACAACAGACACTATTTTCAGAATGCAGCATGAATGGTCTAAAGAAGAAAATAAAGTTTAAAAAGTTGACAAGTCTATGTACCGCTATCGCTGGTATTCTTATTAGCTTATTATTATTTTTTAGTTTACTTTTAAAATTAAAAACAATCTTTTAATAATAATTTTTTTTTTCTCAATTTCTTTGGCTATGGAATATGACATGTATTTTATTTTATGATTTTATTGAACTATGTCTTGTTGTTTTTATTAGATGCTACTTCAAAGTCAAATAAAAGCTTATTCAAAATGGATCTCATGCAACTTATTGGAAGATTAATTAGGCATTCTTCTGGCCGATTCAAGAGAAAATCCACCAATATCGATATTGATCAACGACGGCTTAATTAACTTCAATCAACTGTTGTGTTTTTTATTTATTTTGCATTTTTCAGTAATTTTCTTTTTACTTATAATATACTATCGATTATACTGTACAAAATATATTAGTTTTTAATTTGGAAAGTGTAACTTTGTTTGAATAATTTTTCTTTAAAAAGTTTTTGTAAAATTAATAATTTATTTTAAATATATGAAATTACACTTTATGAACTTTGATTTCTCTTTATACCTTCACTTACCTTCTAAGATGTCTATTGCATATCATTGCATTTTTATATAACTTTTATAAGAATGTCTAGGTAAATTTACTTATAAACTTCCTTAGGACGTCAAAATGCCCTCTGGGGAGCTATTATCATTTTCATTTGAAAAAAATAGCTTTTCATATAAGAAAAGTAGGAATACTATAGTGTATAGGATACTATACTAATAAGTATGGCAAAAAAGTCGTTCTGACCCCGAGAAAAAACACTTTTTTAGAAGCGCATAATTGATAAACAAAGACGTCTTGAAGACGCATTTTTTATGTCTTTTCATGACAAGATTAAGATAAAAAAAGACGTCTTTTCAATGTCGAAAAAAGATGTCTTTTAGATTTGCATATTCGACTAAAAAAAGGCGTTTTAAAGATGCATTTTTTATGTTTTTTCATGAAAAGATTAAGATAAAAAAAGACGTCTTTTCAATGTCGAAAAAAGATGTCTTTTAGATTTGCATAATCGATTAAAAAAAGACGTCTTAAAGACATCGTAAATAAGACTTTCAAAGACGCCTTTTCGACGTCTTTTTTCCCACTGGGTGGTCAATAGTTAGTTATATTTGATAATTCACCACCTTTATATATATTGGTGTAACTTTAGCGATCTTTAATTGGTCAGGAAATATTCCTTGTTTTATTGAGTAACTAAACACTTTGAATAGTATAGTTTTTATGATCTTGTAAGATAATAAAATAATGTTACTATTTATTTCGTCCTGACCTCTCGCTTTATTTTTTTTTTAGCATTTTATAAGCATATTCAAATTCTTTCATTGAAATTCCAAAATTAATTAGTGCAGAAATTTAGGGAAGGCTAAAATAATTTGTTTTGTTGGTTACAACTGGAATATTTTTTGCTAGATTAGGACCAACAGATACAAAGTAGTTATTTATCTGATTAGCTACATCTTTTAGATTATATATGAAATCATCATTGTTTCTAATAACTTTTTGTAAGTTGCAAGTTTTAATCTTATGGTTACCAGTGATTTCATTTAAAACTTGCCTCGTGCGCTTTGAATTATGTTTAAACTTCTCTAGTAGGTTTGATTAGTACTTTTTTTTAAGTTTTTTCTTTGACTTTCAAAATTTTTAACGTGATTTTTATAAACTGTCTTATTCTTATCACTTTTTGACTTTAGATACTTAATATAGAATTTATGTTTAACTTTGGACAATTCTCTAAGTTCTTTGGTAATCCATGGCGACTTAATGCTTGTTTTTTTTGAATTACTTCGCATAAAGGAAAGTTTGCGTCATAAACTTCAAAAAATATTTTAAAGAAGGCATTATAAACTAGATTTGCTTCAGATGAAAAATTTATATGTTTCCAGTGCAGTAAGGATAGCTGCTGATTAAACGACATTATGTTTGCTTGGCTAAAGCATCGTATGAAGTAAACTTGATTTTGTTTCGGTACTAACTCAATATCAATATTTATTGAGAAAAAAATCAGAAAATAATCTGAAGTATTACTTTTAGTTAAACCCTTTTTGAGGGACTCATTAAAAGTGTCCATAGTCATAATGTTATCTATTAAGGAAGCAGACATTGAAGTTACCCTTGTTGGTTTATTAATTAACGGATATGCACCGTTTTCAAATAAATCATTATAAAGCCTAAAAAATTTAAACCTTAAAACCTTAAAAATTTAAAGTCAAAGTAACTAATATTTAATTATTAAAAAATATTTTGTTTAAATAAACGTGTATAAATAAGAAAAATTTGTTCGTATGTGCGTACAATAAAGGAAAAATTACTTGTGCGCGCTTAAAAATAAGGAAAAATTACATGCACGCGCATACAAATAATGCTTACCTTTCAGTTAAGTTGTGTAACTAAGGTTTCCGTTCTTATGTTTTTAATCACATTTTATTTAATTTTTTTTGCCGTTTAAAAAGTAACAAATGGGAAGAGCAAAAAAAAAAAAAAAAAACTTATATTAGCGCTTCTAAATGTCCGTACCATAAAAAAACGCTTCTAAATGTCCGTACCATATAAAAAACAACATAAAAAAAGAGACAATGGTATGCAATTATTTTTTCTTTTACATTAGCCAAAATAATTTTAGTATAGTTGTGTAATTTTAAAGTCTTTTTACTAATATGACAAATGAATTAATAAATGTTTCTGTTTAGTTTAAAAAAAATAGATTGCCTCTAAATATAGAAAAAACTAACTGGACACTTTTTTATCCACCTTCAAAAAAACAGAAACTACCTCATATCATGCCAGACCATTTAATTAATAATCTCATTAATAATACTGATCTTAATAGTGTGCTTTCGAGCCTGTTTGGCACAGAACTCTTGGCAGCCATTGCAACCGAGGTAGTGGCGAGAAAGAGTCGCAGCAATAGAAAACGTGAACGAACATGTATGCAAATCTCTAACGTACGTAAACTTTAAATTAAGTAATTTTAAAACATATACTAAAACATACTGAAACATTTATCAAGTTTTACAGTTTGATTTTCACTTGAAAATTGCATTGAGTCAAGTTCTCCTTAACTTTGATCTATAACATTTTTTTTCGTTAAAAAAAATCATTATATAATTTTAAAAATCTTCACTTAATGATGTGCCAGTTTGGCCGAGTGGATAGCGCGCCGAGCTTCGGAACAAATAAGCCGTGGTTCGATTCCTACCACTGCACAGTGAATCGGCTGATACAATCTAGCTGGACAAAAGTCAATTTAAGGAATCAATTAGTAGATACTTCCATAATATTACTGAATACTCCATAGAGAAAAATTCAAAATATCAGTTAGTGTACGCGTTTTTAAGTGTTAAATCATTAGCGCTTAAGTGTCACTTACAGATAAACATATTTTTGTAAAAAAATTAGCTGTAATTTTGCTGTGTAATAATAACGTATAACTAATTTATTGTAAATAATAACTAACTCTGCTGTGATTAATTTTACATTAGAGGGTATGTACTTTGTATTTTATTGAAAACTTATTTAAAATAATTGTCATCGATGATATTCTGGAGCTGTTAAAACTGCAATTTCTTTTTTCGTTTTTTAATTTTCAAAGCGTATAACTAGTTTTATCCAAATATATCTAGGCTGATTTTTTTATATATTATAACCACAACAATAAGGCGCCTAAATATAAAAATTTGGCTGTCCGTGTCTGCCCGTTTCATTTTTGTTTATTTTTTTTTCAGACCGAGTGTATTCTATTACAAAATTGGAGTTATTTTAAGAATGGTAAAAACATGCAAAGGAAGAACGAAATTCTCTTTTTTGTGAATTTATTTTGAAAGATTATACTACAGAAAATGTTACTAGTGATTCGAAAAAAAAATACAGTTAAAAATGGCAAGCATATCCGCTAAATTTGTGCAAAAGTGGAATGCAGTCAATAGAAATATGGATCATTTTTTAAATAAAAATTAGTTAGAGGGCAATAATTTAGAATTTAAAATAAATTTATATTGGTCCTGTGCTTCTACAACATCTGAAGGAAGTCGGCCTCAAGATTGGTTAAAGAAAAAGACTCATCTTTAAAAACCAAAAGACGTAGAGTTGAAGACTTATAGCTGCTGAAATAGCACATCATTTGTCGAGTCAAAGAAACGTAGCTACTATTAGAAAAAGTACAGAAACCTTAGAGCGAAGAAAATCTACAGATGTTATTTGTGGTATCAGACAGTTGAGTAGCGATGAGGCACTTACTTAAATTTATGTAAAAGATTGTGTTACCCTCCAGAAGAATTTATTTCTATCTCAAAAACACGAGCTGAAATTAAACTTCAAGCCATATTGAACAAAACAACTGAACGTTTAATTGAAACACAAGTCAATTTCCCAAAAATGCATCCTCTAATTTGTCGCTTACATTAATAAGCCAATAGGGGTGTGACGGAAGTTCTGGCCAAAATATCTATAAACAAAGATTTGAGAACTCCGATCCTAATGATGATTTTCTGTTTGTGTTTGCGTTTGTTCCGTTGAGATTGTATGATGACTCTAATACTATTATTTGGCAAAATCCTCGGCCTTCGTCAACACTTTATTGCCGACCAAATAAATTCATATTTTCAAAAGAAACACAGGAATTTACTGTAATAGAAACTGAATAAGTTATAAAAAAAGTATCTGAACTTCTTCCAACATTGTTTAATGTCTGTTACTTACAATGACAGACGGAAAAGTATGCAATGCTTTAACTGATACGCGCTCCACACAAAAATGTTATATTTTCGGTGCTACTTTAAAAATGATGAACGGTGAATTAAAAGGTATTATTAATAAAAAAGAAAATTACAATTTTCGGTTTTTCTAGCTTGCATGCTTGGATACGTACTTTTGCCTGCTACACATTAGCTACCGTTTAGACATTAAAGTGGCAAGTTAGAGGCAAAGAGGATAAATGTCGTATCAGAAATCGTTCAAAAAAGATTAGGCAAAAGTTTTGAAAAAAAAAGGACTTTTTGTGGATATTCCGAAGCCTCATTATGACAATACAAATGATGGCAACACAGCTCGCAGGTTTTTTTTAAACCCAGAAAAGAGCGGAGAGATTACAGGATTAGACGTTGAATTAATTAAAAAATTTACTGTTTTGTTAAGAACGCTATATTCTGGCCATGACATTGATTGTGTCAAATTTGAAAAACTTTGTTCTGAAACATGGACTTTATATTTACATTTATATTCGTGGTATTACATGCCTGTTACAATGCATAAAATTTTATTGCGTAGCACGGAAGTTTTAAAGTCGTGTATTCTTCCGATTGGCCAGCTCTCAGAAGAATCTCTAGAAGCACGAAATAAAGATTGTAGGAGATTTCGAGAACATCACACTAGGAAAAAGTCACGTATTTCTACAAATATGGATTTGCTAAATATGCTCTTAATAACATCTGACCCTGTTATCAATTCACTTAGAAAACTGCCTGCAAAAAGAAGCAAATTACCAGTAGAGGTTTTGAATTTGATTGTCCCGGCTCTAAGAATAGGAAATTGTAACTTGTCCGATGAATCAAATGATGAGTCCTCTGATGATTCAAGTGGTGAGTGTTTGGTGGATATAAACGACAAGTTTTTTGATAACTAAATATAAAATTTATTGTATAATATTTTGTATCCTTGTTTCATAAATATACTTTTTCTTTTTTACTTCATTTTTTTATTATAACAGTGGTTGTTGCAATGAGGGGGAATGATGGGGGGGGGGTTGTAGGCCAGGGGTTTTTTCTCTATTCTGCGCAAAAAAAATTTTAAGTTATTAAAACCACTGGGTATTCAATTCAAAAAAACAACAAAATATTGTTTATTAAAACCATTCATGACTAGAACAACGGAATTCGTGAACAAAATGTTTTTGACCAGCTAGATTATATGAAACGATTCACTGTGCACTGGTGACTTTTTTTATTTATTATTTATTTTTTTTCCATTATTGTAAAATACAAAATACTTTTGATCTTTTATAGAGATTATACACAAACGTATGCAACGATATTATAAACTTTTACAAACGAAAAGATTTTAAGAAAGCTAAAATTTCATAAAACATCAAAAAAACATCACCAGGAGAAAAAATTTGTTGCGTATGTGTCATGATTAAGATACTTATGCTATTAATGTGTTCAGGTAATTAGTCCTAATAAGCTGAGAATGTTCTGAAAAAAAAAGTTGTCTGAAACCGAATGAAGAAAAAACTTAATAAAAAAGTCCTGCTACTCAAGAAAGTGCTACTGTGGAGTCAAAAAATAAAAAATAAAAAAATAAAACCGCAGCTAGAAAAAAATTTAAAACTTTTTTTTGAGAACGAAAAGCTTTTTTTGCTACATTTATTTTTTTACTATAAATATATGCTGCAGATGTTTTTCAAAACGCTTTAGTTTGCTTATTACGTATTTCAAAAGAAACGCAATTAAAAAAAATTATTAAAAATTATCTCTCTGTTAAACGTTTTTTGAAACAAATAATTTTAATGAATTTTTTCAGAACTCTTTGAAAATTTGTATTCAATAACGTTTGTAGACATTTAAACTAGCTTATTTTGTAAAAAAGTCGAAATTGATTTTTTTTACCTTTTTTACCTAAAAAAACCACTAAACCAAAAAAATTAAAAGTTATTGCAGTACAGTGCATTAGGTATAGTGTTTGGTCTTTTCAAAGAAAAATTGTATAAATCATTTTTTAATTTTAATATAAACTAATTTTTGTTTCAACTTTGTTGTGCTTAACCATTTATATATACAATATATATATATATATATATATATATATATATATATATATATATATATATATATATATATATATATATATATATATATATATATATATATATATATATATATATATATATATATATATATATATATATATATATATATATATATATATATATATAGTCTTGCATGTCTCTTGCGTAGCATCAAAAAATATTTCCCATAAACTGTAGTTTTAAAGAGCGCGTTAATAAACCAGACCAGAAAAAGTTTTAAAAATTAAATTTTTTTTTTTAATTGATAGACTGCCTGGCCAAACCAAACCCTCAGTCGATGTAGCAGCACTCTCTTGCGAGTCAGGCTATTTGTCAGTCGTTGTAGCAGCACTCCCTTGCGAGTCAGGCTATTTGTCAGTCGATGTAGCAGCATTCCCTTGCGAGTCAGGCTATTTGTCAGTCGATGTAGCAGCACTCCGTTGCGAGTCAGGCTATTTGTCAGTCGATGTAGCAGCACTCAGTTGCGAGTCAGGCTATTTGTCAGTCGATGTAGCAGCACTCCGTTGCGAGTCAGGCTATAAGATAGTCGATGTAGCAACATTTACGCATGTTTAAAAAATGTTTTTTATTAAATCAATAACAAAAACACCACTAATTAAAAAAAACTTTCTAGTCGTTATAATTGCGGTTTTTTAAAAATTTTTTAAAAAACAATTAAATTTAATGTACTTCCGCATAAATTAATTGCTTTGACATTTCGATGACAATCAAAAACAGCTTAAGAGACAAGGTAATTCGTAAGAGACTTTTTTTACATTAAAATGCTCTTAAAGCGACACTATATGAGTATATACATATATATATATATATATATATATATATATATATATATATATATATATATATATATATATATATATATATATATATATATATATATATATATATATATATATATACATGAACGAATCAGTGGCGGATTGAGGTTTAGTGTCGCGGGGGGGGGGGGGGGAAGATGGCATTTCAATAAATGGGGGGCGGCCAGGATTGGGTGTGGTATTGTTTTCATGACTAAAACTTTATGTGTTTTTATGTGTCGTTTATTATACATAGTTGTTGGTGTTTGACAGTTTTACCTGTTTTTAAAATAAAATGAGTTGGATTTTGAAAAGAATTTAATGAAGATTCCGAATCTTCAAAAACAAAGAAACAAAAATAAAAAAATGTCTTGCTTTGATCATACACTTTTTTTTTTTAAAGAAAAGAAGATTAAAATACGACTAACTAGGAGGAACAATTATAATTTAAAATAATATTTACTTGATTAACATTTTTATAACATTAGTAAGCTAAATTTAAGTAAATCTTAATTATCCAAGTAGCCAAATATAAATTAAACGGATTAGAGGTTCAAAAATACCAAATCAATGATGAGAAAGTTTAAGAAAAAATCAATATTATTAATAATCGATATTAATAGTAATAACACAACGTGTTTAGTGAAGAGCTTCTCTAATATTATTAGCAAAGCTATTCTTAATTCACCAAACATTTTATGAACGCATAACTATTTTCAAAAAAAAACAAGACATTAGTCTACAAACAAAATATACATTTATCAGTTAGTTTAAAACAAGCAGTACAAGAACATTAGCCTTCAGATATTCACCATTTTCCGAGTTGTATTTTTTGAAGCTCGTACAAGTAATAAAACCGACCTAATTAGAAGGTGGTTGAACTGGTTTTAAATAAGATTAACTCGAGAAAGTTTTGCGTTGTGATCTAATCTAGCTTTGTGGATTTCTTTGTATAAGACTTCTTGAAAATCTTTAAAAAATCCGAAAGGCAGTTCAAATACTTCTGAAATTTGAATCCCATGTTTAAGGAGCTTGTATACAGTTGATGTGATTATATACCAGGAATAATTATCCACTATCAGATTTGCAGTTTTATTGCAGAACAATTTGAATTTTACACTGTCTAATTTGAAATCCGACCAATTTACCTTTAAGACTGTCCTCAATCTGGATTAAGTAGAGGCATTGTTAGTTAAGGCATAAATAATCTTTTCGTCAAAAATTGTAAAATGTTCATTGTAACAGATCTTGGTACAAATGTTCATCTGATTTAATGTCAAATATTTCTTTCTCTGCTATTATTATTACGCGGTTACTTCCAACTTTCACTTTTCCGCAACCACACTACGTAGCTTTCATTTTGACTACAAATCACAATACAAAACTACAATACAAAAAACAATTTACATAAACGGTTAATATAGATCTTCAAATACAGTATTATAAAATAGTTGCAATTATTATTTATTGCCATCGGATTACATACATAACAGATGCTATGTACTTCACATAAAAAGTTATAGATAGCGAACAATTTTGTTGAATTTACTTTTATTTGTTGTACATTTCTAGCTCAAGATTTATTTTTAATAGGATAAGAAATGTATTGTTTGTATTTAAAAACAAATAGTTTTAATGAAGTAGTTAATTCCAAAGAAATACTAACTCCTCGACAAATGCAATTACAAAATCTAGATGTCTTTAATTAGAACATACTTGATATTGATTTAAAATAAATACAAATTTATTTACCTTTAGATACATTTTTTACCATTAGATCAGTGTTTGGAAAGTTTCTTTTAAAATGGATCTCGTTCCCTTTCCCGTTCATTTCGCATAATAAGAACGCTTTCCAGATCCTCATTCCTTACCATAAAAAGGACTTTTTTCCAAATTCCTCAAAAAAAGGAATTCGTTACAACTTCGTTCTTTTTTTAAAAATTATTAATTACGTATTACTTTAAATTAATGGGAGTAAATTTATTATATCAGGTTTATTTTTGTTATTATTTTTATATAGTTTCCTAAATATTTTACTCTCCTGCCACCCTAGTCTGCCTATGCATGTAACTTTACACATATATATATGTTATAAATTAATTTCGGTTCAAAAGCATGATCGAAATGGTATTAGAAACTAGAAAAATATACAACAACAAAAAAATATTTTAAACTTTCTTTTCTTTTAATAAAACTAATTTTTCAAATAACAAATCACCCAAATTATATCTTTTTTCAGTCATCATATTAGACCCTGTTGAAAATAGTCACTCGACCGGTGCAATTGATGGAAAAGGTGTGTTAAGTTCTAAAAAGACGTAATAATAATTTATTAGTACATAATAATTATGAATAAACATAAATGAAAATATTATAATTTGAAATAAATCAGTTGATAAAATTTTAAAATTCGAAGAATTGCAATTATTTATTTACCTTAACATGCCGTTTTAGATTAGATGATGTATTTTTAGCAGTACTTATATATTTTCCTGAAGGGCCACACAAAACACATTTTGCATTTATATTGTTGCCATTTATTTCATTGAATATAAAAAAAATGACTCAAAACCATTCCAGGGCAAACATTCTACTGAAAAGGTAAACATTATATAGTATAATTAACATTTTAGTTAAAGTCTAGTATTTTGACTTAGACTTACGCATTATGGCTTTAGTTAAGTCAAGTCAAGACATGTTTTTTTGTAATAAACTTACTTTAGAAATACAATTTGCAAGTTAATAAAATATAAAATAGATAAAAGTTACGGTATATTTTTTTAAAACATACCACTAACTTCAGTGTCGTTATTACATGCGCCACCACTAACATTATCAATTTCAAGAACTGGATTCATATTGCTTACTAGTAAGCAATATGAGTAAAGTTATTGAAATTGATAATGTTAGTGGTGGCTGCAGCTACAGCCGAGTGAAATAAAATAACTTCTGCAAGCCTTTTTAAAGTAACTCCGCGGCAAAGTTCGCCATAAGTTGGCCAAACGTACTATTTCTAAAACTATAGGCAAATACAAAGCGTTATGTTTTTTGAACTGTAAAATCAACTATAACGAAAAGCTATTGGTTTAAAATTTGAGAAACAATTAAAAAAATTTTTTTTTTGAGGAACGTGAACGAAAAATAATTACTTTTCGTTCACGTTCCTTATATATATATATATATATATATATATATATATATATATATATATATATATATATATATATATATATATATATATATATATATATATATATATATATATATATATAATTTTTTTTGTGGTTGTTGTACATTAATTTTTTTTTAGTTTTCTTACTTTGTCAGTCTTGGTGGTAAGGATTTGAAGGGTTGTGTTAGATTGAATATGAAAAAAGTTGGGGACAATTGTTTGTGGTCCAAATTTAGTTTGTTTGGAGAAAAAGTGCTCATTTAACAAGCAATCAGTTATCAGGATTATTATAAGTAATTCTTGAATTTTTTGTTTTGTAAAGAAGAGTTTGTACATAAGTATAAATTTTTTTAATTTGGACTAATTGAATTATTTCAACAGAAAGATTTTAATTTAGAGGCAGCTTTAAAAAACATTCATAAAGCTACAGAATCTCAGGTAGCTGAAATAGTTGGTGATGTTCTGAAACATGCACCTAACAACTCCGGAGGAGTAAACTATTTGAAGGTAATTTTTTAAATTGTACATCTGAAAGATAAAGACTTAAAGGGTAAGGCAAGAGACGACTTTGTCACAGTAAAATAATTTGATTTGTTATTTTTTAGAAAAATTGATTTCAAATTCAAAATTTGAAATTCAAATTAAAAGCATAAGAGAAAGAACTGAAAGAAATATTCTTATAAATAAAAAACACAAATTGATTTTTTGACGCTACTCAAAAATGAATTATATATAACATAAGACAACAAACAGACATACAGCTGCAATATGCAAGACGAATCAGTTTATTGAAATAAACTGATTATTCAGTTTGTTACAACAAACTGATTCGTCTTGCGTCGCATTCTCGAGTTATATATAGTTTATTTTTAAATTGTTTCGTTTTTTCCATTTTTCTTTTTTTTTAATCTTACTGCAGTCTAATAGTGTTCTTTATTTAGAGAAATAGTTTGCAGAGCAAGGAAAGAGTGATGTTTACTTGCGAATCACCTATTGCTGGTGAATGCAATGATTTAAATGACGAGGAATATTCGACCAGTGAAAGTGATGACGCTGTTGAAAAGTTACACTTTTAACGCTAGTAGTGTAAATACTGTTTTCAAACTTATAAATATGTATATATATATATATATATATATATATATATATATATATATATATATATATACATAAGTTATTTTGTAGTATTTTTTGTCTTAATTTCTGTATATTTGTTGGATGAAAATATCCGATCCCACCCTCTTTGTTTTCGTGTTTTAAAAAAACTATTTAGTTTAAATCAAATTAGTAAATTAAATAATACTACTGCCTTATTTATTTTTCATTGTGAGAAAAATTGTCTTCTTTAATAGTACTGTGAAAACTTAAGTTTTTACACGATTATTTTACAGAATAATAGTGTGGAATATAAATCTTGTCTTGTTTAATAACTTGGAATATTAACATTAATAAACTATAGAAACGACTGATTTATTAATTATAGTAAATAAATCAATCGTTTCTAATAAACTATAATTGAGATTAATGAGCTTGCAAAGTAAGTTTTTTACTTGCTAGCTCATTAATCTCATATAGTTAAATGTTTGTTTATAATTGTCATAATTAAAATCATACAGTTGAATGTTTGTTTCATAATTAAAATCCTTAAGTTAAAAATCTTATTAAAAAGTAATAATTAATAGTCATAATTGATCCAGGAAATAAGCTGAAAATAATTTTTGGAAAAACATTAAGAGCATTTGCTAGCCTTTATTAGCTATGGTTATTTAGGCTAAAATAAAAAGTAGCTTAAATTAAAATCTTAAAATAAAAATTAGGTATTACAGGTTTTTCAACAACGAAATGTTAAGGTTAAACTTTAGTTTGCAAAATAATGTCATTTGTATGTTTTTTTAAAGTTCGTAAGTTTAAAGTTAAATTATTAAGTTAAATACATTATGTTAACTAAAACATAACTAAATAAATATACAAATTAATACTAAAAAAATGAATATACAAGATTACAGGTATAGCATATATTATAAATATACAAAAAGAAACTTAACAATAATAAATATAACTGCTTAACAACTGCTTGCATTCTCTATACATATTGTTTGACATTTATTTAACAATGGAGAGGCCTTTTCAATATTTGCAATATGATCATTTATTTGAGCTTTTGTTAAAGACTCACTATGCTTTCTATAAATTAAAATTTTAAAACACATTTTATTTTACTTACTTTATAATTTGATTTTTTTAAACACTTAATGCATAGCAGATGCTTGTTGAAGATATTTGAAAAACTAACCTTCCAGTTTTAAATTAATAATATACTTAGGCTGTTTGTCGAAATATAAGCAAAGTGACCATATTGATTTAAAATATGGTGACCATATTGATTTAAAAGTGACCATATTGATTTAAAATATTATACTATATTGTTCAGAGTGAGTAACTATCAGATTCAAAGAGTTGCTAAAGCAACTTTAATTGCATGAGTATTAGGTTATAACCAACTAGATATTTGTTAGTAATTCTATCGCATCTAAAGTAAAATAGACGACATATTACTCCTTATAATTATTAAAAAATCAAAACTTAGCAATAAAATTTGATTTTATTAAAGCAATATGAAATAGTTGCACAATCCTTTAAAGCTTAAAATGAGATTAAAAGAAGAAAAATTATAATAATGAATACAAATGTTTCATCATGTTTCATAAATATTTTTTTGTGTAATTATCTCAGCATTAATTATCATATTTGTATTATCAAAATTCAAAAAGATTAGTATTTATGATTAATCTGAAAAGAACTGCAAGTAAACACTGATATAAAATATTTATTCAGAAATACAATACTTACTGTTAAACATTTATTGAAATAATTAATTACGGTAGATTAGAATTTAATAAGAAAAAAATTAATTACGGTAGATTTTTTTATAGTTAGCAGAACTACGTTGATATTTCTTTTTTTTTTTACGTTGTCCGTATGTTAGCTCAACGTTAGAATGTTAGGTTAATACTTCTATGTTATTTTAACGTTGTGTCAACGTTAGCTCAACGAAAGAATATTACGTTAAAAAGATTACGTTGAATTAACATTAAGTAACGTAAAACGCAATTTTAACAAAAATACAACGTCAGCACAACGTTGTGTGCTTACTGGGACTGTAGTTATTTTATATTGTTTTATAATATGAGAAAGTATACATTTATATAAAGTGGACTTGCGAAAGAAAAAAAAACACTTTATGTTTACTATAGGGGCTTGATGATGGAACAACTAGAAGACTACAGTTTTCTACTTGTTCCAGTCATACTTTTATTTTATATTTTATTTTGAAGTTTGTAAATAATAGCGTTGTAAAGTGTTATTATATGACAAATAAATAAATAAAAAAAATAAAAAAATTAATAACATAACAATAATATATTTTAAAAATCCATAATGGTTTCTGAGTCATCTTTTTGATTGAAAAAATAACCAACAAAATCATAGACAGCTTTCATCCATAATAAACCATATGATCTGAAAATTCCCGCGTGGATTCCTATATATAAATCTATAATTCCAGTTTACAACATATATCTTCTTTTTAGTGATGTCGTAAATGTAATTGTATTTCTTTTAAAAACAGACATTTTAATGGTTATTTTGCTTAAAACTACTATACAACTCTAATTTAGACATATAGTTGTAAACAGGAATTTTAAATCCACTTAAAAGCTGTCTTTCTAAGTATTGAAACTAAGGCTAGTCGTCATGTTCTCTATCAAGCTGATTAGTTCAAGAAAAAGAACAGTTTTTTAAATAAAGTGAATTTTAATTTCTTTAGAACTTTTAACGAGCAAATGATATTGGAAAAAAATGAATGACAAATGTTTAAACTTTGTTTTTTGATTAAGAAAATATAAATATTAACAATGTATTTATAACCCTAATTTAATGTAAGAGTTTCTAATATTTGGCTATTTTCGAAAAAAAGACTCAATTGCGGACGTTATAGATCAAGTTTTGATAAATAATCGCATTTTTTTAAAAAAGCTTTTGGGAGTTTTAAAAGTCAATACGACTGCCGTGCTATCTTAACATAAATAACTAATGAATCAACCATAAACTGAGCTACTTTTAAATTTTTTATGCCAAATACTGTTTATAATCTAATTTTTTAATCTAATGTTTAATACATCAAAACGTTATAGTGCGACGTGTATTTTCTTCTTCAAAGCGTTCAATAATTCAAAGTTGATGATCGGAAATTGACAATTTTTTTTTTAATTGTTTGAATTAGATATTAATATTATTTTTAATATTATTCAGCTTTTGTTACTGGAATGAAAAAGTTCGGTTTTATTTTAATAATATTTTTAATTTTGTTTTGTTTAATGAATACTTCTTTGTATTTCAAACTGCTAAATATAATCAAAGCTTCTCGATTTACCAACAATATATTTGTAGACAAAACAGTCTTTAAAACAAATCCATTAAACTCAAGTAGTTCAAATTGCATTCATGACCATTTTAAATCTACGCTACTTATTATTGTTTACAACTCTCCGCTTTACAGTCATTTGCCGCTGCTAAAAAACTTATACAGTAATGGTTTTCCAAACATTATTCATTGTGGACCTGAACATTCGACAGCACCATCTGGGATATTGAAAAGCGTAACTTCTGATGGATATTTTACCTATGAAGAGTGCGCTGCGCAAACAATGCGTACTTTTATTAATTATACTGGATATTTAGTGATAAACGATGATTTGTTTTTAAATTTTTTAACCATAAAAAAATTAAATTTATCTAAAATTTGGGAAGGTCCGTTACTCGAAGATAATAGCAAAAATATAAGCGATTGGTATTGGTGGGATTCTTCGTGGGGAGTAAAAAATTGCTTTAAAGCTTTAAAAAAACTTCGTTCACTCAACAAATATGTTAATCAAAAAAGAGATTCTTATTGGCACAAAATCGTTTCTGGTGAAAACGTATGCTACGGAATAAGAGCGGATATTTATTATATTCCCAGAAAAATGGCTGAAAACTTTACTAAACTTTCAAATGTATTTAGAGAAGAAAATGTGTTTTTAGAAATTGCAGTGCCAACAATTATAAGATTGCTTGTTACAGAGGTTGAAAGGCTAAACGGGTTTTACATGGACTCTGGAACAAAGAGTGAAGTTATTTTGAAATCTTACAATTCCGATTTAAACTTTATACATCCCGTAAAATTTCATTATGGAGAAGATTCATTGATAAACTTTGAGTTTTTAAAAAATTATGAGCGCCATGTTTCCTGTTAATACAACTTGTTAGCATAATTATTATAATTATACATGTAAAAATTGACATAAACAAAAATATGGAATAATCAAATTAGATATCATAATTTATTTATTTATTTATTTTTTGCCATATAAATTTATTAAAGTCGTAAACCATTATATAATTACAAATAGTAGGGGCAAGAAGAAAACATTTAAATTAAATATTCAATTAAAAAAATTAAATTCAATTGCTTGAAATATTTAATTATATTTTTTGTGATAAAAACTTGATACCAGAGTGATATTATAATTTCTTGATATCAGAGTGATATTATAATTTCTTGATATCAGAGTGAAATTATAACTTATCCAGTGTACACTGGATAAGTAATTACAAAAAAATAATAACATGTTATTATTCAATAGAGTAGTTATGTCCAGTGTTATTATGGCATAATATGTCTGGCAGATATAATGACATATATCCAGACATACTTTTTGCCGACGTAAATAATGTCAAACATATTTTTATTGACAAATTTTGACATAATTTTATGCCTTATTTATTTTCTGCCGAAATAAAATATGTTAGACATATTTTCTATCAACATACTTTTGACATAATTTTATGTCTGAAATATTTTCTGTCGAAATAAAATTTGTCAGACAAATTTTCTATCGACAAAATTTTATGTCTGAACTTTTTCTTGTCGTCATATAAAATATGTTTGACATTTTCTTTCGTCATATTTTTGACCTAACTTTATGTCTGAATTATTTTCTGCTGACATAAAATATGTGTGACATATTTTGACGTATTTTGAGAAAATGTTATATTTTGAGAAAATGCTATATTTTGGGAAATTTGTGTCTGATATAATTTTCTGTTTCTTTTTTGCAATCAGGTCCGTACTGTGAAAATTCTTGCTATGATTATAGATCATAGATTCAATTTTTAAATCTATAGATTCAATTTTGAAATCTTAGTTGGATTTAAAAATGGATTATTTTACACATCTATTAGATTTTGAAGATATGCAATATTGAAGGTATGCATTATAAAAGAACCATTAAAGGCAAAAATGCTCCTTTAACAACTAAATTTTTATCGCATAATTTTAGGTGTCGAATGTGCCAAAAATCTTTTTTGTAAAACAAAAATAGAAGAAAGCAAAATGAAAAACTTGTCTTCGGAAGAATTATATCAAAATCTTCTTATTGTCATTTAAGCAATTTTAACACCAAACAAATAATCTTTAAGTTATATAAGTATTAATTTAAGTCCTGGTATAATACATGATGCAGCTGTTGAAAGCAAAAGAAAAAAAGAATTTATGGAAAAAATTTAGGATGCAAGGCTAAAGAAATTAATAGAGCACAAAAAATATATTCCTTATCAAAATTTATTAACAATCCATCTGATTTTGTAGGTTTTTCTATACAACAACGTGTTAGAAAAAAAGATTCTGTTGAAGTATCTTGGAAATAGCACAAGTAGCACAATTGGAAATAGCACAAATAGCACATGGGAATAGCACAATAGCACAAATAGCACAATTTATCAATTAAACGCTAACGAACCACATACCTTGTTAAGTATGATAACGAACCTGATGAAGTATGGTCATTTTGTTTATTAATTGATTTTGAAATTATGATATTATTCTTTTTAGCTTAGATTATGAGGTAATATTCTTTATTAAAACTTTAGAATTATGTTGTAGTATTTATTTATCTTGTTTTTTTTTGTTATTATGTTTCAATTATTTGTTTTTACTACATTTGAGTAAAGTGGTTTTTATCTTTATAAATGATATGAATCATATCTGATATATTTATATGTACCAATTTTGTTTAATTTAAAGATATTTTTATAATATATATCAATATTTTTATCTCTATGCTTAACTGCACATTATTATAAATATTAAATTTAAAATAACAAAAAAAAAAATCTTTATATGAACTGCCTATCAAATAAAGTAAAAAATCAAGAAATGGAGGGCTAACTATAGGCTGAGTTACTATCACTTATACATGAACTGCCTATCAAATAAAGGAAAGAATCCAAAAATGGAGGGTTGACCTTAGTCAAAATAACAACTCACTGATGGAGTGCAAAGTCCTATTGGTTACCTTTTCGTTGGTGCACTTCGTTAAGTAAGTTAGACAATTTTGTCTAACTTACTTAACGAACTTATATATATTTGTATATATATATATATATATATATACATATATATGTAAATATATATGCATATATACATATATATACATATATATATATATATATATATATATATATATATATATATATATATATATATATATATATATATATATATATATATATATATATATATACATATATATATATATATATATATATATATATATATATATATATATATATATATATATATATATATATATATACATACATATATACATACATATATATGTATATATATATACATAAATATATATATATATATATATGTATATATATATATATATATATATATATGTATATATATACATATATATGTATAAATATATATGTATGTATATATATACATATATATATAAATATATATATAAATATATATATATATATATATATATATATATATATATATATATATATATATATATATATATATATATATATATATATATATATATATATATTAGGGTGTGTCATACTTTTTTTTTTTGAATTTTGACTCGCATAATTTAAAAAAGGGTGAGGTATAATATTACAAGTTTAGAACCGTCAACAACAAAAAAAAAAGTTTTAGCTACCAGGGAACCAGAGACACTATTTTACCAAAAACCCTGGGGGAGGGGGAGGTATGAATTTAAAAAATTGAAGTATTTTTTAAAAAAATTTTACAAAACGCAAAAAAACGTCATCTCTATTTAAAAAAAAATAAAATTATTTGTATAAAAACAACTAGAGTGGTTTGCCCCCCTCCCACTACCTCTCACTAAAACTGTAAAATTAGGTTGTTTTGGAATTAAAAATAAAACATTCATATAGATCCACAAAACATCTACTGGCACATTAAAATAAAGTACAATAAAGATTAATTCTTAAACATTGTCAAGCCAATAAGGTTTTGTTTAAATAAATTTCGTGACATCAACTTCTGTGACAACTCTTGTCCTTTAATCCAACCATCTCTTCTATCTTCTGTAAAAACATTTTCGCAAACCTGGGTAACTTTTTTTACACATCTTTCGACAGCTTGAGTGTGGCAACACCAGTTTGGTACAATCATTGGTTTAAAAAAATACTCTTTGATGTCTTTAGTTGTCATGCAACAAGTCAAAGGTGGTTCAAAAGCTTCATTCCAATCAATAAGGTCCTTGAGACAAATTGCTTTAGTATTGATATCTGGTGTCCTTCTTGGTCTAACAGATAGATCTCCAAGTTGTACATTTTCATCACCTTCTCCTCTTATTTCAAGAATTTTGTTTACACTGAAATCTCTCTCCTCTTTATTTTCAGAACAAAGCATAGTTTGAAGAATAGATTCAGAGAAGGCATACCAAGCAGATCGCTTAATAGTTGGAATGACCATATTTTGAATATCGAATGACTGGTGTTGAAGCAACTTAAGCTGGTAAAGAACATGTTTTGGTCCTTCTGTCCAACTATATTTAACTTTGATGTTAAACCAGACAGGAAAGTACACTCCTACAATAAACTCAACTAGTTTAAGAAGGTTTTGGGCTGCATCGCCTTGAAGGCCATGATGAGATACCCAAATTCTACATATTCTATTGGCTGTTGTTAGCCATCTGGCCATGTTAACAGGGCCAATTTCCAGAAGTCCTAGTTGCTGAGGAACATGACCACTGCGTATAGCTTTAACTATTTGATAGCCATAATACTGATCTGTTGAAAGGTCTTTAACCACATCATTACTCAAGTTAATTAGAGGCTCACCAGTTTTCACTCTACTAAAAAAAGGGTTAATTTCAAGATTGGTTGCTTCATCAAGTAAGCTTCCAATGGGTCCACTCCATTTTGTACCACTTTTAGATTCTCCGTCTAACAATTTAATTAAACGTTTGAGTGGTAATTCATTGGTATGTAGAGCGCAGACAATCCAATTTAACTTTCGCCCTAATTTCAGCTCCATAAAGTGCATTACTCCTCCATCCCAACTAGTGTTTACATTGGTAGAGTCTCCGCCAATTGCTTTTAAGTGTGTACTAATGTTTCTCATTGCAGTATACTCAATAATCTTATCTGCTATAATTTCAGCATGGTTCTTTTTTGCTTCTTTAGCAAAAAAGAACCATGCTGAAATTAGTAATAAACCATGGAGTGAAATGAAATAAATACTTACCATCACCAGAACAAACAGTGTAATGTTCTTCTTTTACTTTAGCTGGATACTGTCTGTCTGATCCATCTACAGTTAAAAATACTTTAGTAAGATCTTTTCGCCCATCAAAAAATATGCAGTCAATAATCTCTTTATCACAATAATCATCAAACTGAACAGCAACTTCATTCATGACTTTATCCCTAGCTCTCCGAACTTTACTGTGATCTATTATTAATCTAGTGTCACTTTGGGATACAAGTCCTCCGTCTACCCATGCTGCAGTAGCTATGGCTGCAGTTGCTCTTAAACCAACACCATATCGAATACTGGCCAATGCAATATTAGAGATATCTTCAATATTTCTAGATTTTTTTAAATATTTTGTACAAGGCTTTTGAATAAAAAAAATCTAATTTTCATTAGATTTCTCTTCATAATTTTCATGTTCGTTATCTTGTTCATATTGCGTATTATTTTCTTTTTGATTAGTGTGTTTTTTTTCTCTCATTTGTTTTTCTTCTTCTCTTCTTCGTTTGCAACTTTGTACTTTTTGAACTTTTTGGACTCCATCAAATCAGCAGGCCCAAGTTGGTATGAACTTAAAGATCCAATCTTTTCTCGTTGGGCTAAAAAAAGTGACAACAATTTGCTTACAACCAGACAAATTAAAATAAATTTTTTAAAATAATCAAAGAAATCAGTATAGTATAATAAAATTTGGTTTTCTGCTTTACTAACACTTTTATAGTGACTTTCATATATTCACTCATACCTTTTATATAAACCAGTTCATTTATTGGTATTTTTCTCTCCCTAGGACATATGCAGGTAATGTGGGCACCAACTTTACAGTCAGGAGAACAGCATTGCTCAGAACAAAAAGATATTTTACAGTTACACTCCACCAAATCAAATAGTTTGTCAATAATTAAATTAAGCTTTTGTTTTATAAATTTACTTGCTCTATTTTGAGAAATCAGGTTAGCTTTGTTCCATGCAACTTTAAGTCTTGTTACCAAATTATGTTTTAAACTAATTACGGGAGGCACAAATAAAACACTGGCCATTTGCCATTTTTCTAAAAGTTTATTATAAATATCCGGGATCAAATCAGAATTACTATAGTTTCTTCTGTTTAGTTTGCTTGTTTCTCTTAAAAAAATACCATATCTTAGGACATCTCTCAGTGTAGGCAGTTTAGCTGTTGGCAACTCTTTTCCAGATCCCAAATATTGGCGTAGACAAGAATCATTTTTCCATCTTGTTCCAGCAGCCATTTTAAATTTAATTATACTTTGTATCTAGTAATTTTGTAAATTATATATATATATATATATATATATATATATATATATATATATATATATATATATATATATATATATATATATATATATATATATATATGTATGTATAACTTGCTTAACAAATATTAAAACAAAAAACTTTAGAATGATGTTTTCTGTGTAGCCATTTAGAACCATCAATTAAAATGTATAACTTAAATTACAAACAAAACTAAACTCTGAAAACTCAAGCAAAGTACTCTAATTAGATCTTGAAGTTTAAAGTTTTACACAAAAAACGCTAATATTCGCTATCTTTTTTAAATGCAACTAAACACTTTTTTATAAATCCTATTTTTAATTACGCAAGCCGGTTTTTATTTTCATCGATACTAAAATTTACATAGTTTAAACAACAATAACAATAACAATAACAATATATTCTGAAATAATAGTTTACATTTCATGGTAGTTTACTAATAGTACGAGTACTAATCAAAGGTAAACACCAATTAAATAATAATAGCAATCATATAATAATAATAATAATAATGATAAAAGCAATAATAATAATAGCAATAATAATAATAGTAATAATAATAGCAATAATAGCAATTGTAATAATAATAATAATAATAATAATAATAATAATAATAATAATAGCAATAATAACAATAATAATAATGTAAATTAAACGAAGACGATTATAATAATACCAATAATACTATTAAATATAATAATGACAATAACAATGATTATATCAGTAATTATAATAACAAAAGCAATAATAGTAATAATAATAATAGTAATGAAGTTAACAACAATAGTAACAACAATAATAATATTAACAAATATCACATTCATATATTAAACAATTCCAATAAGTAATAATGGCGGTAATAAAAATGCAAATAAAATGTAAGTAATATTAACATCACATATAATAATAATACTAATAACAATAGTAATAATAATCTATTATAAGCCTAAGATTTTAATTTGCGTATTGAAAATGAAAAGGTAAATTATTCCATGATTTTACGCATTGGTTTAATAGAATTATCACCGTATTTTACCGAACAGCGATTTGGGATAGATAATTTAAAGTTACTCAAAGATCGAAGGTAATAACGAGAACTTTTTTTAGTGGTAAAAAAATTGGAGAATGACGGAGGGAGGTTTACTTGTTTATGATTCCAGACAAATAGACAATTTAATAGATAAACAAGATCACATAATTTGAGTATTTTTGATAGAAAGTAAAGGATGTCAGAGTTAGAATGATACTGTTGAAAGAATATTATTTTTAAAGCTTTGTTTTGTAGGTTACATAACCTTAAAAAAGCATTAGACTTGCATTGTCCCCAAACCTGACAAGCGTATTTAAGATGAGATCCGAAAATTGCATGGTATATATTAAGTAGTGTTTCATAATTGACATAGTGGCGAATTTTGGCTAGCATCCCATTTGATCTACACAATTTTACTGCTAAGTTTTTAAGATGAGAGGAAAAGGATAGATCTGAGTCAATTTGGATTCCAAGATATTTTAATGAAAGTAAGGGAAAAATTTTTTGTCCACTTAGTCTAAAGTTTAGGTTTTTACACATTTTAGATTGATTAGATTTGAAAATAATGAGTTCAGTTTTGTTGGTATTAAGACTTAGTTTGTTAGAGCGCAGCCATTGAAGAAGGTTAGATAAATCATGGTTAATATGTTTGTTAATTTTTTTTAATGATTTGTAAGTTATGAGTAAGTTGGTGTCGTCAGCAAAATGGTAAGCCGTTGAAAATTTTAGAGAGATATTAAGATCATTTATAAAAATAAGGAAAAGCAGTGGTCCTAATACAGAACCTTGGGGTACACCAGTGGAGCATTTTATTGGAAAAGATTTGGCATCATTAATGGAGACAAATTGCGATCTATTAAAAAGATATGATGAAAACCATTGGAGAGTGTTACCTCGAACACCGTAGTGTTCCAATTTTTTTAAGAGGATGGAGTGATCAACAGAATCAAAGGCTTTCTCTAAGTCAAGAAACACTCCACATGCAAAAAGCTTATTGTCAAGAGCATTTCTAATAGTTTCAGTTATTTTAATAAGTGCATGAGTCGTGGAGTGTTTGTTACGAAACCCATACTGATGTTTGTAAAGACATTGGTTTTTGTCAAGAAAGCTATAAAGTCTGTTGTACATGGCTTTTTCAAATATTTTACTAATGTTAGATAGAAGAGAAATCGGTCGATAGTTTCTGTGATCCATTAGAGAACCCTTTTTATGGATAGGAATAACTTTGGCTATCTTAAAAACATCTGGAAAAAGACCTTTATTAAAAGAATTATTTAATATGGTACAGAGAGGCTTGCAAATAATATGAGAAGTAAGTTTAAGAAGGTGTGTGGGGATACTATTTGGTCCAAAACTTTTACCATTTTGTAAACTATTTTTTATTAAATTAGATACCTCATTTTCAGTCACTGGATTAAGAAAGAAAGAATTCGAATTAGCATTTTTTAAATAGTCAGAGAAGATACTTTTAGAAGAAATCATTTTACTTTTGGGTGGGTGTTGTATTGTTTCATAGTATTTGTTAAAAATGTTAGCAACAGCCATACTGTCAGAGATAGTGTAACCGTTAGACTTAAGAGTGTAAAAAAAATGTACAATTATTAATTATAATTAAAAAATAAACTTTTTTTTTTTACATAAATTATTCTTTATATTTAAAAAATTAATTAAACTTTTAAAGGTAATGTTGCAGAATAGTGGCGTAAAATTCTGTATGTTAACTTTTGCCCTCTTGCCCTTAGTTACTGATTTAGGGATAGGCGAGGGCCTCAGTACATACATAGACTGATTTAGGGAGAACTCGCAAGAGAGTTGATAACACATCGAAGGGTCAGGGTTGGGGCAGGTATCAATTTATATCATTATTCTTCCTTGAAGCCCTTGCCTATCTGTAAATCAGTAGCTACTAAAAAACAGTTTCGTTTTTTGTTGACAATAAAAACCAGGTTGTTTATGTTATTTTCAAAGTTTATTTTCAAATGTTAGTTTCAAATTTTAATCATTACACAGTACAAAAAAGATGGTGAATAATAGCGTTTTTAGTGTAATTTTTAAACTTCAAGATCAAATTAGAGTACTTTGCTTCAATTTTCAGAGCTATGTTTTTATACGATTTTTAATCAGCATAAAATTTTCTATCATAATCAAAAATAAAAATAGGGGGAAGAGATGTAAATAACGCCACAAAACTTTAAAAAAATAATAATTTTTAAGTATTCATAAAAATTTCTGAAACAGTATAACTATTAAATGAATTTTACTTATCCTGCTTTCCTATCTTCCTTTCCTTATTCCTAATTTCTTAAGATAAGGTTGTTGCAAAACAGATATAAGTCTAGAATATTGAAAATGACCCTAAAAGTATAAAAATATCAAAAATTCACACTTTTCGGCAATTTTCAAGGCAGTTCCCTGGTAGCTTAAACTCATTTAAATTCAAATTTTTTGATATTTCTAAGTTTCATATGTTAAACCTCATCCTTTTTTAAAAAATGCCACTGGTAAATATGAATTTTCGAGTTTTGACCATAGTATGACACACCCTAATATATATATATATATATATATATATATATATATATATATATATATATATATATATATATATATATATATATATATATATATATATATATATATATATATATATATATATATATATATATATATATATATGTATATATATATATATATATATATATATATATATATATATATATATATATATATGTATATATATATATATATATATATATATATATATATATATATATATATATATATATATATATATTTATAAATATATATATATATATATATATATATATATATATATATATATATATATATATATATATATATATATACATATATATGGTAGAAACATGATTCCATAGCGTAAAGTTAGGTGACGTAATGTTTATTTTTTGGCGAATAATTAAGTATTTAAGATGCAAAAAGCATTGTTAAATTATTTGTTTTATGCAATAGTTTTATGTGAATATTTAATTATTGGTCATGCGTGGTAAAATGTTTTTATCAAATAGTAACTCAATACAAAAATTGTGAAACATGATTTTATACTATAATACAAATGTTTTTATACAATTTATATTTAAATCATGATATAAGAATATTATTTGTGATCATAATATCAAAGTGAACCGCGATTGTTAAGATATTTTGATAATAAAGAAAACTAAATCATAACATGTTTACTGTAGTTGGTTTGTTTATTAGTCATTTTGTGAGGATGGCTAAGGAATTATTTCTAAAGTTATAACAAGCACATTCTTGAGTTTTATCTTTATTTTTTAATCTTAGTGCTTCTACTATGATAAGAAACTTTATGCAAACAACAACAACAAATAAAAGCAATAGGAGTAACATTTATTTTATAATAACAGTAATAATAATGAAAATAATAACAATAAAAATACCTATAATATCATAAATAATAAAATCATAATATCATTATATTATCCAGGTTTATACAATTGTAATTGCTATCTCTAAAGCTATGGTGATGGTTTATATTTTAGCCAATTTAAAAATCAACCTGTTATACACAGGGTATATACAAATGAAAATACCATATTGAATTCTGGTGTATTTTTGAAGAACATTTTTTTTCAAAAAGTATTAAAGTTTTTGTGTGCAAGAAAAGAAAACTAAAGATTTTCAAATTAAAGAAAAATATGCATCATGTTTTCGATAATATTTTTGTGTATCTTTTTACGTAACATGGTTTGATCAATTTTTACAATGTTCCCCATCTAAATTGGCAGGAAAAAAGTTTATAAAAAGTATAAAGTTTTATAGCAAGTTAACAAATCTACTTTTAACGAAGCTTAAAATAAAAAGTTTGCAAAAAAGTGTATGTATAGATTTATGTTCTGTTGTTGTTCATTTACTATAAACAAGTATATGAATTTGGAAATGGAAATTTAGTTCAAATAGAAATTTAGTTCAACGCCAATAGCAATTGTGATAAAGTAATTTAAGATCATTTAAAGTTCAGTCAAGCAAGCACCTGAAAATGGTCAACTTTTTGTTTAATATAGATTGCTGTTCCAAATACAAATTGCAGATATGATCCAATACTTTATGTCAAGCAAGGTTCAAATTTTAAACCAAACAAACTTACTATCTGTTGATCTTCTACTTTGTTTTGAAGTTATGAGTTCAGATAGATATGTAAAACATTTAGTTTACAATTTTTTTTATAGCTTTTAGCTCAAACTAGTAACCAATGATGTAATTTAAAAGTTTTATTTTTACAAATTTTAATTTGAAAGGAGAACAACATACATTATTAAATAAGCTATAATTTGAATGCATATATTTAAATATAGGGAAGATCAATCAATCACCCCTTTATATGTATATATAAATATATATATATATTTTTTATATATGTAAGTTTTGATTTATATGTAAGTCTGTACAAAGATATAATTTTATATAGCTTTATATTTTATTAAAAGTATGTTTTAATTATATTTTAATATGTTTTAATTTATGTTTTTAATATATATATTTTTTTTGATACAAAAGATGTTTTGTTCAAAGCAGATCAGCCAACCATATAAAGGACAGATAAAACTGACCCTCATCTCAGGCTTAAGGGTCAATTAATGCAATTTTTCAAAAGCTTCTTTTGAAGTATGCAACCCTGATGTCTTGATGGGCACAATCACATGGAAGTAATGTAATATTAAATTAAATATTAAAGCATAAAATTTGCATTTACTTTACTTTGCTCTAACATCAAGTAATAATAAAAGTCCCAAACCATATTCAATTAAAAATAGGTTTTTAACTTGTAAGTGAATCAAATTAAATTAAACATTTTATTTTTGTTTTTTTAGATGTTACATATAGTGTAATACAAAAGGGATAAAATAATATCAAACAAAGTTGCTTGGTAGGGTATACTGGATCCATCCACTACTTCTAAAAAATCCTTAAAAACCACTATATAAAATAAAAACAAGAGAATAGTAAAAGAATTCCTTTTATTTACATATTTAAGCAAACTGTTGATATAAAATTTTAACAAAAAAACATTTTAATATTTTTTTATAAAACAAAATAGGGGTAATTTCTACACGTTTTCATAAAAAATTCGAACGTACTTGAACGTTTTGTGTAAGCGGGGAGGTCATACATAACATTCAGATCGCAAACTTTAGGGTCATCCACATTTACCCCACACATTGTGCATAAAATTGGTTTGTTTGCGGCATCACTCATTGTTGTTTTTTTCATGTCTTTTCCCTTCCCTTTACCTGAAATGATGACAATTTTCGGCTTGGTTTTAGCCTAATTTTCTTTAGTGAGCCTAGCAATGCATTTATCTGAAGTGAGGCTTTCACCACACTATTTTTTTATGGCCTTGCTCCCTTTCTTTTTTCAATCAATCAAGTTGATAATCAATCAAGTTTATCAAGATACTAAATATGATATACTAAACATACTGAACACAAGAAAGTTTATACATATTTTAAACAATATTAAATCTAAAGTTCCTAAACAACAGCAATAAAAATAGCAATTAAGATTTACTACAACCTTATTGTTGGTTTAAATAAATGGAAACATATTAATATAAATGTTAAAATTTAATAAATGTTATATGACAAAACAAGTTAAATAACATGTTTGAAATAATAAACTAACTTTAAGATGTTTAAAACAGGCAAACAAGAAATGAAAATTAATTTGGATAACTCTTTAATGTTTTTTTTCTTTTAAAATCTGTTGTTTAACTTTATCTACACAAAAAAGAAAAAAGAAATCTTACATCTCTAGTAAAATGACCAGTATGAGAACTTTTTGAAGGAAAGCAAACTGGAAACACTCTTTCTCTTACTACTTTATTCTTGACAAAGCATCTTTAATACGGTTTGAGAATTGCACTCTTCTAAATTTAGTATCCTCAGCAATATAAAACAAAGTTTATTTTAAAAAGAATTAGCATAAATTAATTGGTTATATTTTAAGTTGATGCATGTATGTCTTGAATAGTTAATATAGGACTGACTTAAATCTCATTTCAATAATATAAATTAAACAAACAATGAAATAAAACCTTAAAACTTGGGAACTTTTAAATTTTCTAAATTTTTATTTGAAAACTACAGTTAAATTTCTTGGTGACCAAGAAATTTAAATATAGCAAATAGCTTTTTGAAAAACTGTGATCTGATTCCTATTAAGGAAATTAGACAAAAGAACAAAAATAAAAGGTTTAGACATATAATCATTAAATACAGGAGCTATTTTAGAAACAAATTGATAAAGAAAAACATATTATAATAATAAATGAATTTTATAAAATTCTTTAGAAGAGGCTTTTCTATCATTCCCGTGCATACAATCAAGCACTTTACATCCTAAAACCATAAAGGGAGTACCATTAAATGATATTGAATCGTCTTATTTGGTGGTGTTTTGCAGAAGAATCTTTAAAGATAACAACAACAACAAAAATTTTAAATAATAACTATACAAATATAAAAGAAAATTAAAATTTAGCAATTGCATTTTAAAAACACTTAATTAAAAGCACTAATAGTTTAGCAGTATAGTGTATCAAAGTTTTCATGGCATGAAAACTTTGATACACTATAGCATGAATCATGCTTGAGTGCCACTAAAGCATGAAAACTTTGATACAGCCTCTGTTTCGTAGCTATGTATCAAAAAAAGTACTTCAACGTATGTTTCTACAGTAACCCAACTTCCTTCTTGAGAAATAACAACTAAAAAAATTTAAACAGTAACAACCATACAAACGTGGAAATTGATACTTCATTTAAAGCGTGCTTGTAGAGGAAATTCCTTTTTAGATAAAATATTTTAAATTATGAATATAAAAAGCTTATATTATATTACTCGTTTAAAAACATTCGGAATGTTTTTAAATTTTTAAATTTCTCAGGGATGTCATTCCTGAGAAATGCTTTTAAACGAGTAGTAAAACAAACATCAACTTAAGCTTTTTATATTCAAAATTTAAAATATTTTGTCTAAAAAAGTTGAAATGTCTTGTATTACCTCTACTCAATGTTGTTTTTTCTAATAAATTTAAATTATTATTATCTATATATAATAATAATTTTTTTACCAATTTAAATTTAATCTTCGACGATAACCAGGTGAAAACGTGCTCCACATTTAAAGAATATTAATTATTTCATAAATTAAATTATAAATGCAAAAATTAATTATGTTAACTCTGTCCTGGACGTGAAGCGGGACAATTGCGGAACATTTTACGGGACCTAACTTAACGCTATGGAATCATGTACTTACCTTGTCATACACCGTAAAATTGACTTGGTACACTGGGGTGGGTTGATTCAGATTGCATGTTTTGTATTTTTGAGGTCTCTACCCAAACTAAAAACATTAAAATAGTTTGAAATGACGTTATTTTGTTCAGCTGGAATCAAGCTATCAGCTGATCAGCTTGAAACATTTCTCACATTTTTATTACGAATCTGTACTGATTTGTTTTTTAGGTTATGAACTTGCAATTTTTTTAGTCCTTAAAATTTTTATCATCTAAAGAAGTTTCTGAGCTGCTGTCAACTTCGTATTTGGTAGAAAGGTCAGTTATTCAATTAGTATTAATGACTTAAAATTACTTCTTATTCAATGTATCTTAATGCAAAAACAAAACATTTGAAAAATGTTTAACCTTAGCTAGGGTGACTTAATACATGTATCAGCTCACCCATGAATCTCATATATGTCTCAAATCACACCAGAAAAAGTGCAGTGATTAGCATTGCTACTTTATTATTTATTTGTTATAATATATATTTATAATAATATTTAAGCTATGAGTAATTCATTTTTCTTTTTTATTCCTTTTCAGATAAGATTGTTTTACTGGCTGAGTGGAGATTTCCATCAATCTACATGGACGTTCGACGTTTAATCAAAGGGTATCTGAATAAAGTCGAACGAAATGTGAAAGATTATAATAATCTACCAGGATTGGAATTTTTAAAGAGACTTAAAAATTTTCTTATTTACGAGAATATCACCATTAAAATAAATCGTGCAGCTGTATCAGCGAAAATAAGAAATACTTATTTTGATAATTTGGAGTGCAATCTTGAAAGAGTGCATCCTTGCTGTATTGTTAACTACGAATAAAAAAATCTGACAAGTGATCCAGGTACGGACAGACAATCCAGGTTCGTTGCGGACAATAGAAGTTTCCATAAAACGTTACTTGAACTTTGATTATTAATGTAAAATATTTAACTGACTTGAAAAACACCAACATTGTCTCAATTGTCCCCTCTAATCTTTTGAAGTGGTTTTCAATAAAAACTGTATGGTGTATTAACTCACCCTCTATCCTGGCATGACTTGATACAGTGGGTTTTTAAAATAATTAATAACGAAGGAAATAAAAATATAAAAAGATAAATCCACGTTGTGATTAAACACATAGTCATAAGAAGTATAAAAAAAAATGGAGATTTTGAATGTTAACTTTTGTATCTATTTTAAGTCATTCCGTTTTACGGTACGGAGTAAAATATTTCAAAAAAAAAAATTATTGTATATTTTGTCTGTATCAGTGGCGGATACAAAGGGGGGTAAGGGGTAAATATTTACTTTCAACGTTTGATTTTTTCAAGGTATTTATATACAGGTACATTTATTATATTTATTAGCAAACTTTTCTAAAAACATTCTAAATAATCAAATAAAAAAGTGTTTTATGTGAAGAAAAAAATGGCGGATTTTTTTGATGTTGGTCAAATTACCTAGGACAATGAACTTTATCCGCCCCTGGTTTGAATTAAAAATAAAGTTAATATGCTTTTAGTGTAGGAGCGATAATTGGTTTTTAAATTGTTTTCTATCGGTTTAATAAAAAGTTTTAATTTTATTTGATTTTCAGAGTTTGATGAAAAATGTTGGTGACAAAATGTTTATCGACAAAAATATTGGAAAATGTTGAGATATATCTGATTTGCGGATACCTTTTTGGGTATAAAATGATACCAATCAAAGACGAAGTTTTACTCTGTTTGAACGATTAATCAAGGGAATAGTTCCAGATTTAAATAGAAAAAAATGTTTTATTTTACTATCTTCATTGTATAGAAAACAGTTCATATTTAGGTCTTCAATCAATTGTTGAAAACGAAACCCTCAAGTTCTCGCTCACGCAATCAGGCGGTCGATAACATCAGCTTAATAAAATGTTTTTTGATCATTATATAATTTAATAGTATGTAAATTTAATGGTTAAAATTTCTTTATCGCCATCAGAAGCACTTAAATCATTCCAAACATAACAAACAATATTTTGTTCACATGCATAAAAACTCCTCACCCACGTTCACATGCATAAGAACTCCTCACCCGCGTTTATTTATTTATTTTTTTAGGTGCCCCAAGAAGTCCTTACGGTCTTATCACAGAGCACCGAGGAAAGGCATTTAATAGGAAGTTCACGCCTCCTTCCCAACCGATGTCGCACAACTATTTATTCAAATTTGATTTAAAATGAGAAATGTAAAAGTTTGAAGTATTAATTAAATCATTCGAAATCCACGTTTCAATAAAGTAAACTATATTTAAACAATTTTTTGTTTCCTCTAACAAATTCAAAAGTTTTTTGAAATTGTTATTTAGGCTTCGAATATTTATTTGGAGAATTCTAATTTTATTTGAATTTTACTCACCAAAAAAAAAATCCTTTTAATTTCCTTAGGGAGTATGGTTGATTATTTGTTGCAGAATTTTGCTACAAATAATCAAACATAGGGGAGTGGTATGAGCAATTCGTAGGCGTGCCATGAAAAAAATTATATCAGGGTTAATATTTTTTTAGTATTTATTTTAGGAAAGTTGAAACTTAGGAGTTCAAAACCACTTGTTCCAGCCATGCCTTTTTTAGGACCATTTAGTTTTAAAAAAATTTCTTTTTATGTTTAGAAACTTTATCCCATCAACTTAATGTTTGGGATGGGCTTCTCAGCAAAAAGTTCTAATGTTTTATAAAAGCATCTTAGCCTTCACTGCGTAGTCTTTTAACTTCCTCCCATAACTTTTTACGACTCTCGGTAGTTTTCTTCGAAAAACCTTCGTTAATAAACATACCATTTAAACGCTAGTTTTTCACTACGTTTAGAATTTTGTTTTTTTCCGGGTAGTTTAAGAGCTTCAAAACAATTTTTTTTAGGTAGTTTATTAACTGTAGCTTCGCCCACTTGATGCGTTCTTTTCGCGAACACCTTACTGTCAATTTTTAATTATTTTTAACAATATTTTTTACTGTATTTTTATATTCACTCTCGGTTTCATTAGGTTTTCTTCAATTTCAACTATTCGTCAATTATTTTGACTAGATTTATTTTCTGAGCCAATTGCCTTTTACCTTTTTTCATTAGGATTGCTTCTTGAAAACTAATCGTTGTTTTAAATTTTTTTTTTTAATTTTAGGTGCCCCAAGAAGACTTAACGTTCTTGTCACAGAGCACTTTTCAAACCCTATATCTCTTGCTTCTAAAGCCAGCGCTCTAACCACTTTGCCACGACCGCGTTAATATTACCTTAATGAATATTTAAAAATATTCAGGCGGTGAGTTTAAAAGGGGCTGTTCAAATAATACGTGGCACTTTTTATTGACGTAAGACCTCACCCCTCCCTTCTTTCCTCTATGTGACATTTTGTGGCATTTAAAAAAAAAATTCATAGGTGGGTATTTTATATGTAATCATTCATGTTTTAAAAAAAATACAATTGATAACACAGCAAACGTTGTTTTAGTGAGTTTGCAGTGGACCTATATAGGCATTTTTTTAGTGTTCATTAGAGTTTTTGTCATCGGGTACTAAGTAGATCATATGAGGCAGCCGCTATAAATGGCAAGCCGATAACTTTCCGACATATTTATAGTGGCTAGCCATCAGCTAGCCACTTTTGGCAACTTTCTGGTGCTCCAAGTAATCAGTGAGCAATACAACAGAGGTCCGCTCAAAATGCCTACACAGGTCAATTGAAACTCCGCTATAGAATGTTTGCTGGGCTTTAGTTGTACACATTTTCACTGTTTGCTTCTTTTTACTTGTCCATAACTTTTAAACGATTTGATGACTTTTAAATCGATGGGGGGGGGGGGGGGGGGTTGTAAAAAGTGTATTTTATTCAAAAGTTAGTCGGCAAATTTGGACCTTTATTAGACAGTCAGAAAAGGACCTTTTTTATTTTTTTAAGGCCCAAGCCAGCTAAAACCATATACGCCTACTCTCCGAGAATCTTCCTAGGATCTCTTTTGTCAATAAAACATTCTCATTGCAAAATCTTTTTCTTAACAACTTCTCTGTTGCTTTGAGTGTAGACCTTTTTGGTTTCTTTAATTTGTTGGTTTTCATTTTTTCTATGTTTTTAATCGAAGTTTCCGTATTTGTAAAACAATTTAAACTTACTATTGAAAAAATTGCGTCTGTTTGTTTTAAAAGCTTGCTTCAAAGGTTCACACCTCATTTCTTACCGATGATGTTTATTGGGCTAGAACCGGAATAAAACTTTAAATCATTTGGATCTAATCTAGAACTCTAACTTTTACGCCAAGGCTACTTTTAAATTATTTGAATATTTTAAGTTTTACGCTTCCTAAACAATTTCATTGCAAAGATCATCCACTAAACACTTTTAACATCATAAAAGCTTTTAACATCTGAGCCAATACTCAGCAATAACAGCAGTTTTGTCTAGCTGATTCCTTCAAACAACAGGTTTTACATCACTACAGGTTATCGGGTTTGCAATTACTCTTGCAGTATTTATTGCAAATAAAGTTTCTATTTTCTATTACTTTCTTTTATTCAACGTAAAGTTTTTTAATTAAAACGTTTTATTTCAACTCGCGTTTAATTTCAACAGTGTGATTTATTGGAACTTAGTACTTCAGCCAGTTCTAATCAAATTTAAGTAATTTAAAAAGATATTTATAACTGACAAAAGCGCACACTTATAGGGCATTCAATAGTTGCTTATAGATAAAATTATCATTAAAATATTTAGTATCTCAAGCAAACGTAACTCTTTGTCCTCAATAAAAATGATTTTAAAAGTTTTAACGATTGCGTCGTGTTAATTAAAATTGTTAATCCGTGGACTTTTATACTACATCAAAAAAATTTTTATATATATAATTTATCTCTCTGTTTTAAATTTATAAATTCAACTTTTATACTAAATTTAATAGAACTTTTTTTGTTATTATTACAAGCTTTTCTGCCTTATTTATTTATTGCGTCCCTTTCTCCTCCAATTCAAACCATCCATATACGTGACTAGTTTTATTATTACTACACATTGCAATTTCATTAAATTTGATTGTAATTGCCATTTCATGCAAATTGATCTTAAACAAACTTAAATATTGTTCAAACTATAAGTTTCTAACTTTTAATATCCATCCGATAAATGCGGTTTTTTCAGAGAAGTATATTGGGTTGAACCGTAAACTTCATGACAATAAGGTTTACCACTACTCAGTTTCAGCTTGCGCTCTACAGCATCTTTAAACAAGGAAAGAAATTAAAGAATTAATCAAAATTAATAAATTTTGATTAATTAAACACAAATTTTATTTTAAAATTCAGAAATCTTTTTTATAAAGCAATGAAATATTAAATAAAAATAAACAAACCATTTAAAGGGCATTCAATAGATGCTAAAAGTCAAAATCATCATTAAAAAAATTAGTATCTTATGAAACGTGACCTCTATATTCTTGCTAAAAATAAATAACTTTTAGCGATTGCGACGTGCTAATCTATAGATTATATTTATAGCAGTAGGTGTTTTATACTGCTATTAAAAAAGCATATAACTTTTTTTTTTAAATATTAATATTAATAAACTCTGAATTAAATTTTATGTTCAATTTTTAGACTAAGTTTAAAATAACTATTTTTTTATTTGCTGTAGAAATCTTTTCTACAGCTTTTTTTTCGGCTTTACAAATAAATCTAGATTTTTTATTTGCTTCATAAGTTGCAAAATTTGCCATTTACGAATAAAATAATCTTTTAATTGTGTCCTATCCTTTAATTTGCACCATCACGCGCACATATTCACACGCGCAACATTTTCACACGCGCACATTTTCACATGCGCAAGCTTTTCCACATAACTAGTTTTACTATATGCTATATATTTTATTTTGCACTTGCATTCAAATTGATCTAAAGCATAAAGTTGCTGAAATTATAATTAAACTTTCTATTTTGTTACACCCATCCGATAAATGCGATACTTAACTAAAAAAAGTATGTTGGGTTGGTTAATACTACTCAGTTTACGCTCTACTGGATCATTTAACATTAAAAAAAAAATAAAGAGTTCATTTAAAAGTATATTGCAATAAAATATTTCATGGCGAAGGCAATAATTCGTGGGTAAAAAGTGACGGTAGTAGTTCTGGATAATCTTCTTCAACATAGTTTTTCACAGTCTTACCATTTCGATCTTTTATGGTAAAGTCATATTTAAAAAAAAATTCACGTATTATTTCTAACTTTGTTTCTATGCTTATCTTTGGAGCTTCAATTAAACAATGCAGAGGTGTCTTTTGTTCAGCATTTTTTTCATTTATCATAGCTCCATATTGTAATAACAAGTGAATAGCTTTTTTATAACCTTTGTAATGAGCCATGTGCATTGCTGTATCTCCATTAGGCATTGACTTATTTACTTCAGCACCATTTGACAACAACAGTTCAAATATAGGCACACCAAATCGCTTTTTAGCTCCTAATGAATAATATAATGGAGTATTGTTTTTTTTATTGTCAGGTTTATTCAAATCAGCTTTTCCAGAAATTAATGCTGATACTAATTCAACATTTCCTTCAACAACTGCAAATATTAATGGTGTGAGTCCGTTGAACATGGTACTCTCAATAACTCCTGCATTTTGAATGTTCTTAACCTCATCTGATTTACCCTGTGTTAGTGCAAGCCATAATTCCACGTTTTGTGAACTTTCCCCTATCAGTATTGCTAGCTTTTGGCATAGTTCTAATTTCAACTTATATTCCTCTTTAGGAAGAAATATAAGCGCAAGCTTATATTCTTCTATAATTTCTTCTTTATCTTGAGTATTTGAATTGGTTACATCTAATGATAACGCAAAGTTAAAATGCACTTTATAATCTGTAAAATTTAACCTTTTTAAATGATAACTAAAAAACTTGTTTACAATCTTTTCCGGAGTTAATAAATGTCTATCTGCAATAAAAGAAATCGTACCTATTAAACTATTTTTTATCATATCAATATGTGGATGATTTTGATTAGTGCCACTTAAAATTATTTCTAAGGCTTCGTTACAACTTACTACAGCTTGTTTGTATTCTTTTTTATCAATAAAACAATAACATAAAAGCAGCAATGTGGAAACAATTTCTAAACAAGGTTGATCATTGACACAAATTTTTTTTTGTACCTTAAGGCATTTTTTAAAAAACTTAATTGCGTCATCAAGTTCTCCTTTAGCCATGTATGTTCTACCTAAACCTGATAAAGAGCTAGCAATGCATTGCTTTTGATATAAAGTTAAGAGTGACGACTCTTTAAAAAGACATTTTCTCATTTTTAAACCATTTTTGAGATAACCAAGAGCCTGATCATAGTCTTCTTTCATAAGATAAGCTATACCTATGCTATGTAAAGATTCAGCAATTTCAAAATGACCCTCTGGCCTTACATACAAATGCTTTCTTATTATTAAACTCTCATTAAAATAACTTATTGCCAAATCATATTCCTTTTGGTTTAAATAATATGTACCTAGGTTATTTAAACATGAAGCAGTATATAGATTAAAATGCTTTTCTCCAAAGATCTGTTTTAACATATCTAGACTTTTTAAAAAGCAGCTTAACGCTTTGTTATTATCTTCATTGATCATATTCTCACCAAGATAATTTAAATTTATAGCTATATGAGGATGAAACTGGTATTTACCAAGGATGCTTTCCGTCATACTTTTGCACAAAATACTCTATTGCTTTATTAGGTTTTTCTTTACCCAAGTAAGAAACACCGATACAATGCAACGAATTTGCAATATCTAAGTGTGCTTGATTTTTACCAAAAATTTGTTCAAGTGTTTCCAGACTTTTTTTAAAGTACTTAATCCCTTTCTTATATTCTCCATTATTAATATAATACATTCCTAAAACACCTAAGCTATCAGCACTTATATAGTCTGCATTTGAGATGGTGTCCTTAATGCATTCAATATCCTTTATGTCAATTTTTTTTCCGTTAACTATATTAACTTTTTGAAAACTATTTTTGCATAGCAAAGTAAGGGGATAAAGTTGGTTTTTGAAGGGAATGCTTTCTTGAACAAGAAGGCTTTTATTCCAGTACTTGAGTGCTAGATCATATTGTACATTTGAAAAGCAATGGTCCCCCAAACAAAACAAAGAAATAGCAATACTAGGGTGATCTTGCTTTTTATATACAAGTTTATCCATTTTAATACTCTGCTTAAAGTACTTCAATGCTTTCTTATAAATCCCTTTACATGAATAATATACTCCAAGGTTATGTAAAGAATCGGCTATATCAAAATGTGGTTCATCGTTATAAAGAATTTGTCTCATTTTTAAGCTTTCTTTAAGGTTTTGAAATGCCTCGGCATATTGTCCTTTATGAAAATAAAGATTTCCTATGACATTTAAAGTAGAAGCAATATCTTTATTCGAACATTGTAACTTATATAATAACAGACTCTGGCGAAGGAGTTGTATGGCTTCATCAAATTCTCCTTTAAGTTTATAAGTTATTCCTAAGTTAAACAAACATCTAGCAGTTGTTTCCTGTGACTTGCACGTGACCAGTAACTGCAACATAAACAAACATTTCTTAAGATATTTTATTGCGTCATCATATTGCCTTTTAACTCTTAATGCATATCCTAGGTTATGTAAAACAAGAACTGTATTTATGTGTGGTTCTTTATTATAGATATCTTTACATATACTCCTACAATGCCTATATTTCTCAACTGCTTTATCTGTTAGGCCAAGCAATCCGTATATGTTTCCTAAAACAAGATTTATTTGCAAGTTTTTTAAATTTATTGGATCAAGAATTGCTAACTCTAAATTGATCTGCGCTTGTTCAAACTGTATTAATCTATAATAAATAAAACCCTTAACTGCACAATCATTCTTGTAGAAATCATCACTTTTAAAAAATAGTTTCTTGCTATCTTCATTAAAGGTCTCACACTGACTTCAAAATTCGTCTAATTTATCATAAAAAGGCAGAGCGGTGTAAAAAAATTTAAAAAGTTCACCATCTTCCATTAAATCTTCTTCAGATAAATGAAATGTTTTGCAGAGGTTTTCTTTAATTTCAGATCTACTCATATCTGAAATTGCAAATACTGATAAATCTTCTCTTCTTGCTTTATAGTATGAATAGGATTTCAATCTCAAACTTGTGGCAAAAGAAAGCGCGTTTTTCAGATTGAGTGCTGCATTGGAATTAATTATTGCTTGCCTTTCTAATTCATTTATTGTTTTCCAGCCACACTTTTCTACAACACCATAATAAAGACCGAGGTTGTACACCATTCGATCTGGTATACGGTATATATTCTTTTTAACGTCAAACAACTCACCTGACATTTCAAATAAGTCTGGTTTTAACTTATATAAATCACCACTGAATCGTGTTTCTTTAAGTTTCATATTAAATTTTGGAAGCAGGTAACCAATTTCGACTGTTCCCTTTTCCAGCAAATTTATAGCTCTCATTTCACAGTTTAATCTACCTTGTTGTTCATTTTTGCCTCTCAAAAATACTTTAATTTTATTTTTATAAGTTTTAACAAGATTTTTATCTCCATATACGTAACAAACATTTTCTAGTATATAAGGTAAGTTCTTATCAATGTTACTAGCAGAATTATTATGATTATAGACATAATGCAGCATCAGTTTTACTGTATTTACAAGCTCATATTGTTTGTCTTCTTCTATTCTTCCGAGTGGAGTTTTTCCTCCTAAATCAAAATTAACTCCAACTACTAAATGGCTCATATCTATATTATATTTACTTGTAGGTATTACACTTTCTCCTAGATTGATAATTTTAAAATTTACCAAGTAGCTTATATTTTTGAAATATTTCTTTATTTTTTGGTCATTACTTTGTTTGTAATTTTCGTTATCGGTCAGGATTGCAAACTCAATATCAGAATATGGCGTCATTTGTTGCATTGCCATTGAACCCAGACCAATTATGGCGTATTTACATGGTGGAGGTGTAAAAAGTTGCTGTTCGCTATCACTATATAGCTTTGACAAAAACCGTTTCATTTCTCTTGCGATTTCCTCAAAACACTCCTGATACTTATGTTTTTTTTGCTGAGTATCAGAGTTTATAATTTTAAAATTGTTTTCGAATCGTATTATTTCATCAACCTTGTTCCGCAAAATGTTTAATACTTTTTTATTATTTTCTGCTTCCTCTTGAACCTGTATTTTACTTCGGTCTCCACCAATTACTAATAGTATTTTGTTTTGAATTTTGTTTAACTGATGATGTGGGTTTATTTTCCTTTTTATAAAAAAAATTCGTTTTTCTCTTTGATAGTTAATAACTTCCCCGTTAGTTTTTTTTCTAGTATATTAATAACGTATTGATAACAAATTGCCGCATAAGTGTGATATTTTAGATGTCCGGTTAAATGACCAAGTTTGACGTTGACATATCCTAAGTCGTATAAGATTATTATTAGTTTCATAAGCTCTTCAGCAGATTTTTTAAAAGCAAATTGTCTTAAAAAAGCTCCATATTCGATCTGTTCTATATCTTTAAGGATGGCAATAGCTGTTTCCTTAAAGCAATCATGGTTTACTTTTTCAAATTGTTTTACGTTTTTTTTTAATATTTCCAACTGCTCATAACTATTTAAAAAATCTTGAGTTTTAGAATGATAAAAATCGTTCTTTTGGAGATTTCTGTAAATACTTTGAGCTAAATTTAAACAATTTATCTTTTCGTAGGCACAAGCTATTTTACCAAGAACTGAGGTATATTTATCATCATTAATGGTTATTTTATCAGCTTCAAATATCGTTAAAACTTTACGCCAAAAAACTATTGCTTCATAATATTTTCCTTGCTCGCAGGCATTATCAGCTTGATTGACAAAAAAATATGTATCTTTCTTAGTTAATAAATCTACAAATACGTTTGCATCAGACCAATGAGTAGCAGTATTTTCGACTAAGGTATTAAAATATTGAAAACAGTATAAATTGTAAGTATATTTTAAATTTTGTTTTTAGTTCGACAGCCGGGAAGAATAGGCGGCGAGGCATTATTACCATGTACTATTTTTTGAAGTTTTCTTTGTATTATAAATTTTTAGTCTTTGTTTTATTGTTATTTTGTACTTTTTTTCCTCCTGTTTCATTCACAGGGTCACTGAAATACAGTGGAGTGCTTCCCATACCTCAAAGTTTTATAGGGAATCAAAAACAAAAAGAAGATTGTAACTAATGCTGACAATGTAGGAATTTTACATACTTTGATGAAGATTGAAGTTTTTGTATTACAAGGTTGAAAATTTATTATTCAGTACTGACTAACGTTGAACAGATAGTAATGTATTATTATTATAATTGCCTATCTGTCCTCTTGACAACAAACTTGACAACAAACTTGACAACAAACTTGAAAACAGTAATTAAGATAGGATTGAAAGATTAAAAAGTTGAGGATAGTTTTATTAATGACGAATAATTGAAAACAAGCTATTAGCTTGATATAGTTTTTTACAGAGTGTATCAATAAGAAAATTCTATGAAAGCTTGAATCTATAAGAGACGACAAGATATTTAAAAATGTCTTTTGGATATAGACGTCTTTTATCAACTTTGATTAAACAGTTGTAAATTAAACTTTGAACAAGAATAAACATATGAACATCTATTAAACGCTGAAATAAAAAAATATTTAGTTTTGGTAATCCGTTCAGAATGAAATCCAGAATAGCATTTAGAACAAACGTCCATTAAATGTCGAGATTTAAAAGTATTTTTTATGTACATAATGTTTATTAAAAGTATTTTTTATGTACATTGAATGTTTATTAAACGTATGAAAGCGTTTAGATTCAAACGTATGTAATGCGTTTAAAATTAGTGTCACTTAACATCTTTAATAATATAATAAAAACAAACAATATATCTAAACACACTATTGTAAAATACGTTTATGATAATATATTATTATATTACGATTATAAAGCATATTAAATTTGTATTGTGATTTATTCTCCTCTGGCTAATTGTCTCATAGAGGCCACATACCAAGGTTTAAAAAGATGAGTTTAGCTCACAATAAATCATTACCCGCTTTTACTGATTAAGAAAAAGTGAGTTTAAAAAGAATGGAGAATATTAAAGTGAAGAAAAAGTCAATTTAGAAAGATAACATAAAGGTAGCGGACAGATATTGGATGTTAGAATGTACAAAGTTGTACAATTAATTGGCTATAACCAAGGACCTATTAATAGATGGACGTTTAACGTATTGTTTAAAAGCCAAGATATCCGCGTTATTCATTGTTAAAAATAACAATAGCAAAATAATAGAGAACATATGTTAACTATTTTAAAATTGAGAATATTTTTACTTGATTTTGCGTCAAAATAACGATAGTCTCACCTAGCCTAAGAAATATTTAAACATTCCATAATACCTAAAAAATTGTAAAAAGTTTTTAAATAAATAAAACCTTTTCATTATATGATCTATAAGCTCAAGCGAAATCTTTACATGGAAAAAAAAAGTTAATCCCAGAAAAATATCAAAACAAAATTGTAAGTTAGACGAAATTTCCGACAAAAATGAGAAATTTAAATACTTAAAATAATAGTGAAAACTAAGTGTAGGGAATAGAGACTACAAGTAATCTAAAGTTCGATCTACAATTTTACCTACAAAATCGAGAAAATTTGTTTCACTTTGCATTATTCATTCTTGCAAACTAAATATCACTTTTTTACAAAAATATGATTTTTGACGTCTAAGTTTTATTAATAATAAGTTCTTATTAAAAAGCGTTCACGTATCAAATTTGACATTTTAAAACAGATGAGCTATTTCTTATTAACTATAATGTATTAATTAAAAAAAAAAAATTAGAGTTTTGTAGGTAATTGCACTTTTTAAAAGAAGTAGTTAGAAAGAGAAATTATCGGAAAACAGTCGGTTTACTTTTATAAATTATTCAGAAAAATGAAGCTAAAAATTATACTTCGCATAGATTTTTGTTTACTCGCGGCGCCCCAGATCTATAACAATGGGTTAAACGTCCATCCTATTAATACGTCGTTGCTATAACATAACATTTGAAGACTTTTTACTATTATTTACCTGTTCAATCCTTGCAGCGATGTACATTAAAAATTGCCACAAGACTGCGTGTCGTGTAATGATTTTTTTGCAATATTGTTTTTTTAATTTAAAAAAATTTAAATTTTCAAAAGATTTCCAGAAAGTTACAGGATTGCACTATTTATTATAGAGTGACAACAATCGTTTAAATACAGTTCAATGCTCTTGAACTGTATATTTAAATACATACAATGATCACGCACAGAAGTCACGTACAGAAGCTATGATGTTGTCAATTTTATGCAGTTATTCTTATAAATATAAATTGCTTGCGAGTATTTCAAGTGAAATATTAAATTTTTACTACCCATATTTAATATTATTTAGATGATAAATAGCTGTCATCAAATATTTCTAGATAGAGTATAACGTTTTGAAAACTATTGTATATATTTTCAAACTATTTTGGAGTTAAAACGCTAAAAAAAAATAGAAATAGGTATATTTAATTTTATTAATTTAAAAAGGTAGCCTAAAATATGATGAAATTTTTTTTTGTTGTAATTGTTCTTTAAGATAACAGTATGCATATTGCTTTAAATCCCAGGCTTCTAATCTTTAAAACAGAGAAAAATAAAAAATCACACACAGAAATGGAAATGCTCTAGTTTGAAATAGCGCATTATTAAATGTTGGAATATATAAAGAATGCAATATATAGATATTTACTAAATTTTTCCCCAGGTACGCTTTACTATAAATGCTAAAATACCATTTTGAAGACAAGTAACTAACTACCAAGTCGTATAATTCTAGTCTATTTTTCGTCTCTTGATGTAAATAAAGATCTGATGGTAATGGCCCCTTCTTCCCTATTACAAAAATATTATTTAAATACAAAAAATTTACCAGTACTTTGATCTGTTTGATTCATTATTTTCTTCTTTTTTTTATAAATCTGAAAATACAAACACATATATACATAAGTGCGCACAGGAATTTTCGATGTTACATTATCAGGCATTCTCCAAACTTAAGTATGTTAACTTTTGTCAAACGTTTTTACAAACTTAAATCAAATTGAAAACCTGACGATAAACTTTGCATAAAATAATATATTGAATTTTTTTTGTACACACTGTTCTTGCGTTTGGGCAGGGATACAAACAATTTGGGATTTATTTGTTCCTAGGTTCCATCGCCAAATTTTTTTTGCAAAACATTCTAGTTTGATAAAAAAATCAGCGTACTTAAGTTTTGAGTTTATACAATGCCACAAACTCTCATATCTAAAATAGGTATTGTAGTTTATCCTCCACCGGCTAATTGCCATATAGAGGCTATATATCTAGGTCAATGAAGACACGTTCAGCTCTCTAAAGAGCATAATTTTACGAACAACGAAGTAAGTTAAAGTGTAAATTCAGAAGAAGTTGAGTCAAAAAGATAGCATAGAGAAAACGGCATTAAAATTGCACTAGATTTTAGAATGTGCAGCTATACATTAATCGGTTATAACTAACTAATGTATTTAATTGCAAACGAATGTGGCTATTTTTAAAACTTGCAATTAATTGCAAGGTTAGGACAGAAAAAGAAGAAGAACTTGAAAAAACTTTTCTTTGAAAAGTTTTCTCTAGTTTTTATTTTTATTTTTGAGGTGTTACTAAAAGTAGATGTAAGTAAGTAGAAAAAGCTGAGGCCAAACAGGAAATCACGAAAACCCTAACACATATTTTGAAACGAGCAATTCAGGCTAACATTGTTTTGGTAGCAACATAATACAAATGTTTCTGTTTATCGTAATTTGGATGCGTCAAAAAAATTATTCTGTTAGCCTATATCAAATGTCACAAAAATTTCTTTTTCTTAGTGATGATCAATGAAAATGTGATGACAATTTCGATATACGGGAAGGTTTTAAAAGGATCAAAATAGATTTTTGTTACAGTTCAGAAAGAAGACAATTTTTAATTAACTATTACAACTCCATGTTCTGACTCTGAACAGATTCTTATTTAGAATACTGGCTCAGAATCAGATGTTAGTTATTTGGGTACAGCTAAAGACAGAACAGAAAAGATAAAACTACACAAATGAGATCATCATTAGTATCTGTAGCACAAGCCTGTAATAGATTAGATGTTTTAAGCATAGGTGTAGCATTCATAGAATGTGCAAATTAAAAGGATACCAGTCTAAAGTAATTCATAATATTAAATTCAAAAGAATAAAAAGAAAAACAGACTTAAAATGCAAAATTTAAATTAAGAAAATATTTAAATGTTAAAAGCAAAAGCGGTTCTAGGAATAAAACAAGGGAGAGGGAGAGGCATATGCTTAAAAAATACCAACTTTCTAAAAAAAAAAGTTCCTCAAAACTAAATATCACCCAACACGATTGTGTCAAACACCTGACTAGCCAACTAAGTCAAAAAACTAACTTTAACTAAAATATCACTTTTTTTTAGGAGGGGGAGGGTATGTCACCCCACCCAACCACCCAACCTCGTATAATCGCCTCTGATTAGAAGGATTTTATTTTGATTGATGAAAAGATTCAACATAAAATGTTGATTCTAACAAAGAGAAAAGTATACGAAAAACTTCAAAAGAAGAATATGTAGATTTAGTACAGGAACCATGGTCATAGAGGCATGTAGTGACTTCATCAGAACATGGATAACAGTGACTTACATGGATACAGCATTTACATAAGTATAAGCATATTTTAAACTCAAAATAAAATTGATAATAAACTCAAAATAAAACTGATAATAAACTCAAAATAAAATTGATAATAAACTCAAAATAAAATTGATAATAAACTCAAAATAAAATTGATAATAAACTCAAAATAAAATTGATAATAAACTCAAAATAAAACTGATAATAAACTCAAAATAAAATTGATAATAAACTCAAAATAAAATTGATAATAAACTCAAAATAAAATTGATAATAAACTCAAAATAAAATTGATAATAAACTCAAAATAAAATTGATAATAAACTCAAAATAAAATTGATAATAAACTCAAAATAAAATTGATAATAAACTCAAGATAAAATATGTATTATATTTTTTTTATTTGGCGTAGTTTATTATACTATTTATATCATTTTGCTTAGCTTTTCCGCTCTAATACAATTTCAAATTCAAAAAAATATATATATTTTTTTTTACAAACTATTGAATACTTCTTCAAAAAAGAGTTGCAAAAAGCTTATCCTAATCTAGTTATTGCTTTACGATTTTTTAAAATTAGGAAAACAATTTTGGGCCTAATTAGCAAGTTTTTTCACGGAGCGGGATCCACTAGCAAGACACTAAACATTTACAATATTACTGTATTACAATATATATATATATATATATATATATATATATATATATATATATATATATATATATATATATATATATATATATATATATATATATATATATATATATATATATATACATATATATATATATATATATATATATATATATATATATATATATATATATATATATATATATATATATATATATATATATATTACTGTATTACAATATTTATATATATATATATATATTTGTATATATATATATATATATATATATATATATATATATATATATATATATATATATATATATAAAATATATATATATATATATACATATTACTGTATTACAATACTTATATATATATATATATATATATATATATATATTTGTATATATATATATATATATATATTTGTATATATATATATATATATATATATATATATATATATATATATATATATATATATATATATATATATATATATATATATATATATTATATATATATATACAATATTACAAATATTAAAACAATCTGTATTACAATATTACTATATTCTGTCAAAACTTTGTTTTAGGTATACATTAACTTACAATATTCAAAACAAAATATGTAAAAATATGCAAAACTTTTACTGTTGGTTACGAGCTAATTATCTTTAAACTAAAATCTAGTTGCGCCTTACTTAAGGTCAATTAATAAATCTATCTTTAAAATTTCATAATAATTAACTGTAATACAATAGGCAAAAGCATGCAATGTTTTTTAGAGATGAAAATTTATTATATATAAATCACAATAAACACAGTAAATTAAAACATCTTTATTTGATAGGAATTTGGTACCAAGTTTCATCATTTTAGTATTACTACAAGTACTTTATAAGGGTAATAGTAATCAGAAACATATTAATGTTTGGTATATTAAATGTAAAGTTTTGTAATAAAACATATTTTTAAACTAACATTCAACTTGCTTTAAGGCATAAATCAAAAGTAAAATAAAAAAAAGATTTCTGTTAACTAACATAAATAGAGCCTGGGTTCCAGGGTTAAAAAACACATCAATGTTTAATAGAAAGTAAACAAAATATCATAATAGTGAAATTATATTATAGAAATGACATAAAATTTAAGTTTGATAAATATATCGTCAATGACATGTTTCATTGTTTATTATCTACTGAACTACTCATTAATAATTTTTCATTTTAACGTTTAATTTGATTTTTTTCGATAATTGAATTAATATTGATAATTGAGTTAATATAATTACTGAACTAATTTCAATAATTGAATTAATATAATTTATATGCTTCATATAAAAAATTTTATCATTCTCGATGGTATCAACATCAATATAATTTCAAATGACCGATATGCTGAAAATCTAAAGCAGTCTATCAAAAAAATGAAATCTATATAGTCAACAATGATCATACCAAAATATATAAATAATCTAGCAGTTGTATTAATAAAGTCTTTGTTTATTGTTTTAATCCTTTAAAAATTAAAGAAAAAGAAAATCTTTCTAACCACGGCATGATTAGTTGCAAATACTCTTCAAAAAAATAAAGTTCAAAACTAATAATGCAACTAATAATATATCTATAAGATTAAACTTTAATAAAATTCATTATTCATTACTAAATAAAAATATTTCAAATGCGCTGATAAATATAAAAAAGAAATTGATATTAAAATAATGGTTAATAATTATTTAAAAATAGTTAAAACAACATAAACATGCAAGAAAAATTTTTACAGCAGTAGTAATCAATAACAACCAATCTATTCATCATATACAGCTATAGTAAAAAAAAGTTAGTCGTAAGTAAATAAATATACTTTGTAAAAATATTATCGGCATAGTGAAAGCAAATGCAAAATCGAATATAGCAAATTCAAAAAAAATAAGAAATAAAATAACAACATTATTAAAACTAAAAGCTGATTACTATAAATTAAAAACCAAAGAAATTAAGTTAATAATGAAGATAATGCAATGTGGAAATCGTTGAAACACATAATTATTGTCAAATCATCAAGTAAATCAAATATAATGATACTAAAATTCAAGAAGAAAATGCTTTCAGTAAACTTCGAAGAAACAAAACAAAAAGACTCACTGCTGATAAATATAATCCAAAGTTTCATAGAAATTTCAAAATAAATTCAAAGTAGTATTAATTATATGGTATAGGAAATTTAACACTAAGGTAACAGTACCAGTAATTGACCATGTGACAGTAACTGACCATTTATAAAAAAATATATTAAAATAAGCTCTACTATGGTAAAGCAATTTTAAAATCAACGTGAAAACACTCTCCTACCATTTGGTTGTACATACGATGGGAAGGCAAACATTTGACAGCTTTGAATCAAGATGGCTTAAAATCAATGTTGATGTATTATTGTCTTGTCTATTTTATAAGTTTTCTTCCGCAACTTGCTAAGGAGAAGTAATAAAGTTAATTTTAAAAGTACCATTTATTTTTATATTACATGATTTTATTTTGAAATAGGTATGTTTGATACTAATTAAAATTTATTCATTATCTGTTTACTGCCATATGTAGTCAGTTATGAGGGTGGTCATATACTGGATCAGAA